CAAATTCGGACTCACATAATGTATACTTTGTGTATAGTGGCATAGTACTCTTTTTTATCAAATTCTTTCGTCAATCAATTAAATGTAGTTTTGAATAAATATATATAATAAAAATACGATATATCAAAATTATATCATAAAAATATGTCAATTATAAATACTTCCTTCATCCCAAAATATGGCTCTTATTCGATTTACGATGTTTGATTGAAGTTATTTTCAAATCAATATAAGTAAAAATTATTGTATAATTAAAAAATAGGAATTATATATTAAAAAACTACATAAAAAATTTTATAAAGAAGTGGTGACAATGTGACTTACATATAAAACTACCAATGTTATAAATTATTATTTGACTTTCATATTGTGCAAACAGCTTCTGGTTGATTTTATGACAATAGGGTTTTACCATGAAAGAGATTGTTATGAAATGTGTTACTCAATATGGTGGATACAAATATATGGACAGTACAGATTGATCATGTTATGCAAACACTTTTTGGCAGTGAAATTGTCTTCTATATATAATGTGGCAGACAAGAGTGAAAATATGGCAGTGTATAAAAGTTAGCGACCTAAACAAATTTGTATGTACTTCATTAACTTCCATTAATAATATGACAGTGAAATTAGACATACATATAAAACTGCATATGTTATGAATTATGAATTGAATTTCATATTGTGCAAAAGCCATGTGCTTCGTTCTATGACTATTGGGTTTGAACATTCAAGAGTTCGTTATGGAAACGTGTTACTGAATAGGGGCTGATATTTTTTTTACAGTGTGGAATAATCAACTTCTAGCTACACTTTTTGGAAATGTCCTATGACCATGTTTGCCTAGTGTGTTTTGGTCGAATGGAATTTATATCTATAAATCTCAATGTAATAAATTATTCATTGAGTTCTATTGGAAGCGGACACAAAAAAATCACCAAAATGACTAGTGCTTGAATAACTTTAATAAACAAAGTATGAAGTGTAAGCTCAAAGATTTTTGGCAGTGTGTACTTCTTGTGATCTAGGTATACTTTTTGACAGTGTGTTATGTCCTATGTTTTGGCCAGTGTGCTATGTTGCACAATTTTACATAATGTTGCAGTGTATGCTGCTTACAAAGTCTTAAAATTTACAACATAATACCTTCATTATCTATTTCTTTTTAGTACCACATAAATGAAATTCAGCATATGTCTAATACTAACATCTTCTAACATTATACAAAATCAAGAAAGACCAAAAAAAAGTCAAGCCCATGTTTGGCCATTGTGTTTTTGTGCAATAGATTATTCATGAAATCAGTCATACATTTTTGGGCAGTGTGGAATTCATAAATGAAAACAATCACATATATTTTTGGCAGTGTGGAATTCATACATAAAAATAGTGTGGAATTCATACATAGAAAGAGCTATACATTTTTTGGGCAGTATGGAATTCATACATGAAAATAGTCATACATTTTTTGACAGTGTAGAATTAATACATGAAATCACTGCCACATAAATCAATGGACATTATACTACAACATGAAATTAAGGTACACAATAATACATTTACACACTGCCGTAAGATATAACAACATATATCTATTCTACATTGTCACATTAAAAACTCACATATAAAAAACCACAATGTCCACTACACAATTACGAGTGAACAACCACACTGCCCAAAATAATCATATTTTTTGGCAGTGAATAATGAACATATGCTGTTTAATTAAAGGACAAAATCGGAATTACAGGTACGAAACATATAGCACTGCTATTTAGAGTATTTTAATGCTCTTAGAGTGCTATTTTGGTTTTTCTTAAATTCATTGTTTACTTTGATTATAAGTTCTGAAAAAAATATATTTTATTACTCCGTATAATTTAAAGTTAATATAATTGGATTCGTTAATATATTTTATTATAATTTAAAGTTAATATAATTGGATTCGTTTTAAGATGCAGTTTTGATTTTTCAAATAATTAAATGCAATATCGTTCAAAAAAAATTCATACGGAGTAAAGAGAGAATTTATTTAAATAGGACTAAAACATAATGACTTTCTCAATATAGGACCATATGTTTTTATTTCCCTATGTATGCAGGACTGTTGGTCATTATTCATTAGTCATTATTGAAGTAAATATTCATCATCATTGGACATTATTTCGCACTAGACATTATTAGGTACTCCCCCCGTCTCAAAAAGTCCGACACATTTCGAAAAAACTGTGTCCCGAAAAGTCAATATGTACCAATCTGTTTGGGACGGAGAGAATATTATTTAGGCAATAAAAAGTTTAAATCTTACATTAGAAAATGACTTATGTTTTAGTCCTATTTAGTGCAAATTTCACAAACTTTTAAAATTGTTAATTTATTGTCAAAGTTAACATAAAAATTGAAATAGAACAAATAATATAATGGAGCATATATTGTCCTCATTATTTAAGTGGTTTTAAATTAATGAAATCGGTCCCAACAGTAATGTACATTTGAAAGATATCAGTCTATCTTTTAATATTCTCACACTTTATAAAATTTTCAACATTGTATGTATCTTACCGTTTTTTCAGACTACTAATGATTATTATTACTACTGTCTTTTCTCCGCGCCTCATTTTCCATTGTTGCAGATTCTGAGTCTTCACAAAAATCCAAATTAAAATCTATCCTTCCTCTCATTTAATTTTTTACCAACTTCTTTTTAGGCATTTCAAGAAATATTCTCTCCTTTCTTTTTTAAATAATGAATATGCCTAGTTTGGTTCATAAGATTTCTATAAAATCTAAATAATTGTACATACCAATTATACACGTTCAATTTTTTAAATTAATTGAACAAAATTAAAGTTAATTACATTTTTCTTGTAAAACATTATCAAAAACTTAATTTTTTTAATTTACAGTGTTATATTTATTTATTTATTTGAAAATCAAAATCGTTCCTTTTTAATGCAAAAATCAAGGGAAAGAAAATTGTAGAAGTTAGACCGAGGTAAAACGAAGACAATTGAAACGTAGGACTTCTGAAATATCAAAATAGATAGAGCGTAGAATGTACTTGAGATATATGTTCAAGTAGATTTAAGAAAAGTAAAGACAACTGTATCCATTTAGTTCAAATTAAAATGTCCTTTGATGTTATTAGTAAAAGTATGATTTGATGGATAGATTATTAGTAAAAAGGTATGATGTGATAGGTAAGGTAGGAAAAAGTAAGGGGTAAAAGTGACTTTTTAATGGAAATGAGAAATGTTTTTGGGACGGATGAAAAAAAGAAAAGAGAAAGATTTTCTGGGAGGGAGGTAGTATAAGACTAGCTAGTAATGCCAACAATACCAACTTATAATAATAACCAAAAATACGGTTGAATGCCAATATACCTTAGTGTATGTCATATTGTCACAAGACAATAGTTCTAATATATTTTAAGGATAAGAACATATCACTCCTTTTTTTAGAATAATAATTATGTTTAGTTTCTATTTTGAGTAATTTCTTAAAATCATTTGAACAAGCACATGACGAAAGAGGGAGTTTTAATTTCATTTTTCCATTTGGCCCTTGTTTATTTTCTACTTTCTTTTTTTTGGATGACCTAGAGTGTAGCATTCTTTTTTGGACGGAGATATTACTCCGTAAATTCTTATTCTTATTGTGGTTTACACTTTATAGGGCTTGACTTATTTTATTATAGTTTAAAATTTCTCGTGCAATTAAAAAATAGTGAAATTTGCAATGAATAGGATTAAAACATAAATCATTTCCCAATGTAGGACTTAAACTTTTTTATTCTCTAAATAGAACTTAATAATGACTAGATATTTAGTTGGATATTTAGTTGAATAATGACTAATAGATAATGATCAATGGTCCTACATTGGAAAATAAAAACATATGGTCTTATATTGAGAAAGTCATTATGTTTTAGTCCTATTTAGGTAAATTATCCAAAAAAATATGCATCAAGATTCAAGATTAAATATGTTTCTGGTACTCACGGGCAAGTTTTTTTTGGTCCATGTAATTTTTTTGTTTAAGATATCCTTAAAAAATTATTTTAAAAATAGTCCTTACAAATAATTAGCATTTCTAATTAGTTGAGATAACACATTTATTTCATACTCAACATCATAACTAGTGTTGTATTTCTAATTACCTCTAATATTATTTCCAAGCCCTAAGTTGTTTGGTTATTCATTTTATTACATCTCCATTTTCCAAATTTCTTAGGAATATATATAATATGATAAAATTTAGGAATTAAGGATGTAATATGATGAAGACACAATTTAGACTAGGCCATGAGGGTTGTGTATGAGGTAATTAGAAATTCAAGACTAAGATCGATGTTGGATATGAAAAGAATGTGTTATCCAAACAAATTAGAAGGAAGTTTTAATTACGTTTAAGAAGTATTATATTTTCAAAATAAAAAATTAAATTTTGTAAAAATGACTTAAACAAAATAAAATTATAGGGACCAAAACAAAATTCGCATATTTCACAAGGATTAATAAATACATATCTAACATGTTAGGGAGAACTACTTAAATTGGAGCAAACAATAAAGAAAATACTCCCTCCGTCCCTTAAAAAACTTCCCATTTTGACTTTTAAAGGATTTAAGGGAAGTGTATTTTGGTATCGACTTTCTAAAAATGTCATTTGATGTGATGGATAAAGTAAGATATGATGGGTAGATTAATAGAGAAAAAGTGTGATGTGATAGGTAAGTTAAGAATTACTAGGGGTAAAAGTGACTTTTTAATAGAAAAGAGAATTATTTTTTTGGGACGGATGAAAAAAGAACGGAGAAGGATTTTGTGGGACGGAGGGAGTAAAATTTACTCCGTATCAAATGAGAAGTTAATTATTTTAGAACGAGTTGTTCTTCTGTAGTTCTAAGGTCCGCATGTGAAAACGACTCAATTCTTTTGTGATATGAGTACATTAAGATCTATAAAATGAACATAGACGTGAATGATGTTACGATGGAAGTGTTGTGCATCAGAATTTATTTTTGGAGGAGAGGGAGTAGTATTTGTGCATTATAAATATAGTGAGCAAATTAAAGCTCTTTCCACCCATGCCATATCATCTCTTTGGAGAAGCTAATTAATTAAGAGACGTGCAGCTAATAGCTAAGGCAGGCAGGCATATGGCGGTTTTGGTGGTTACATTAACAATTCTCATCATTTCCTCATTCCTCCTCAGACTCTCCTACAAAACCATCTCATTCTACTGGTTAACCCCCAGACGCATCAAGAAAACCATGGAAAAACAAGGGGTGCGGGGCCCGGAGCCGCGGCCGCTTCTCGGGAACCTCCCCGACGTGGCGGCCCTGGTCGGGAAATCCACCGCCGCCGACATGGGATTCGTCCACCACGACGTCGTGCCGCGGCTCCTGCCCCATTACGTCGCCTGGTCGAAGATGTACGGCCGGCGGTTCGTGTACTGGAACGGGGTGGAGCCGCGGCTGTGCCTGGCGGAGCCGGACTTGATCCGGGAGCTTTTGTCCCGGCACACCTCCGTCACCGGAAAGTCGTGGATGCAGCGGGAGGGGTCGAAGCATTTCGTCGGCCGGGGGTTACTGATGGCTAACGGCGGCGATTGGTATCAGCAGCGCCACATTGTTGCGCCAGCCTTCATGGGTGACAAACTCAAGGTATAATACTATACTAAAGAGTAACAAACTTTTATTCTTTTTTTTTTGTCTTAAAAAATTTATTTCCACTTTTACTTTTTACCATTTAAAAAAAAGTTCATTTTTTTCAATTAAAATCATACTTTCCTGATCCATAATTTTTTCACATTTTACCTTGTACGGTATCCAATGCAATAACTTAATCATTAATATCTCTATTCTATTTGTACATAAATAATTTATAAAAATACTATATTTCAAAACTATATTCCAAATTAAATCTATGGATATTAATTTCATATTTCGTAACATAATTCAATGTACGTACTATTTTTGTTAGTTATAGTCAAAGTTTAAAAAATTTGACCAAGAAAATTACTCCCTCCGTCCCAAAAAGATTTACACGTTTCAAAAAAATTGTGTCCCACAAACCCTTACCCATTTCTATTAAAAAACCACTTTTACCCCCTTACTTTTTCAAATCCCACATATCACATCATACCTTTTCCCTAATAATCTACACATCACATCCTACTTTTACCCATCCCATCAAGGATATTTTTGGAAAGTCAACACAAAATTATCCCTCCTTTAATTTCAACTTTAGTCAAAATGGATAACACTTTATGGGACGGATGGAGTAAACTACCAGGAAAAGGAATTTATGAAGGGAGGGAATGTCTTAATTCAAGGGAATGTCTTTATTCATATTATGAACATAAAAGTCACGCCTTATTTATTCATTGTTAATATATTTATTACATCAAATTTTACTTTATCATAAAATAAGACTAAAGTTATACGTAACATTATTTTTATTTTCCAATGCATTTTCTTAGGACCTGTTTGGATATACTGTTGAGATTAGCATTAACGTTTTGAAAAAACTATCTACGGGCAGCGTTTAGCGTTAGCATTTTCAAAACAATCTGCACCGTTAAAATTTTATCCAAAACGCTAATGTTGATCTCTAAAGTTATTTCTAAATAGACCTAAACTTGGCTAAATTTTCATTTATTTTTTTCCGTAATTAATTGATATGATCAAAATTGGAATGATATTTGCACACTTGCCAAAATCTATACTCTCTTCAAAATAAATAGATACTCCGTATTTGAAAAAAAAAACCCAAGTGTGAAGTGTCATTCCCTAATCTATTTTTATTGCACTTTATTTGTTCCCCTCTCCCATATTTTGTAGTCACCATTAAACTCAAAACATTTTTCTCTTTTCTTTAGATACATCCTTTCCAATATATCTAAATTTCAACATTTTTCTATTCAATTTATTTAAACGTTTGTATAAAAATAAAAAAACAAAATTTACTTATTTAAAAATTAAATCCAAAGTTATTCAAAACAAGATGTGACGAGAATATTTTGTTCTTTCAATTAATCGAAAAAGATATATAAATAAATAAAAGTTTTTGTAATATTTAAATAATGAAAGGTGAAATTTTTTCAGGACAGAGTATATATACAGTATTGTGTATATATATATAAATATGTAAAGAAAAATACAAAGACACACGCACAATATTTTAATAAATGAGCATGTTATTATTAGCTGTAAACTTGTTAAAATGTGGGCATGAACATTCCCTAGGGCGGAGACCGTGTTATTAGCTGGAATCTTGTGCATTATAGCAGTCTTGTTTGTACTCCCCTATTATTTAAATGGTTTTGTTTTTTTGGTAACTCCGATGAATATAAACGCATATTACTTTTCGATAATTTATTTATATATTACTCGTATGAAGCTATAATATTTTAAAATTTTCATTTTGAAAAACATGTATTGATATTAAGTTTATATAATAATACATTTTTTTCCATATTTTATGGTCTGATTTAAAATTTTATTGCCTGAAAAAAAAAAAGCAAACAAGAAGAAACTTAATCAAGAATTAATTTGGTCATAACTCATAACTCACAAATTCCTTATTTTCTCCTAATAAGTACTCTCTACTAGTTATCTTCATCTTCTATTTATTAGTTTGATTTTTTCGTGTGAAACTGGGAAGATTCTATTAATCAACTAAATAAAAATCTTATTATTGCATATTACGGAGTAGTATACAAAATGACTCCACTGCAATTATTTTTAGAAAGCCGCTAAAATATTATTTTATTGTACTAATATAGTAACATGCCATATACTACCGACATCTCAATGTATTTGTCAAATTTGACTTTTACAAGTAAAAAAGAATAAAGTTTAAACTCTCGGCACTCTCAATTTGTATTACATATCAATATAATAAAATAAAATTAAGTTCCCTACGAGATCAATTAAATAAAAAACATTTTTATAGAAGTATACGTCATACTTTTTATTTAATTAAAACTCAAAATTCATCGAGTTTGACTTGAAAAATTCAAACCGAATAGATACATTGGGACAGAAGAGTATGTATCTGGATTTAATTTAACAAAAGAGCGAATTCAAATTCGTCTAGTTTGATTAAAAAGTCAAAATCGAAGAACACATTTGCAATAAAAGTTGATTTTTATCATATAAATATTTTTTTTTATATTTGGAATGAATGATTATTGCAAGAGTTATGGGGGTTACATGGTGGAATGCACGGGGGAGATGCTTCAAGGGATGGAAAAGGAAGTGGAGGAGGGAAGGGATGAGCTGGACATAGAGAGTTGGATGACTCGGCTGGCCGCCGACATAATATCCCGGACGGAGTTCGGGAGCAGCTACGACAAGGGCAAGCGCATTTTCCATCTCCTCACTCTTCTGCAGCGCCTCTCCGCCCAATCTACCCGCCACTTGTGCTTTCCCGGTAGCCGGTATGTAACAATAATGGAGTATTACTCTTCTATCCATTCAATCTATCTCACTTCACATTGCCCCGCCGAGGCATTCCAGTGTTTCATTTGTAAAATTGACAGTTTTTACTCTCAATCCCCCGGTAAATCTCCACATCCCAGCTCGACCCGAACACATCCTCCTCCTACCCCCTTGAATTGTACCTTCCAAATTAATTTAGATTTTGTAGTTAAATTTTGACCCAAAGTCAAAATTAACTTAGGGGGGATGTGTGTTCGGGTCGAGGTGAGGTGAGAGGTTTACCAGGAGGGTTAGGAGGAGTAGGATCCTTCGATTTTACGAACGTGGCGGCACTGGAGCGTTCCTGGATCATCCCATGACATGGGATTCCAATGTCATAGGAACCCCACCGTGTTAGTATATATATCACTAATATTTCTTGAAGTAAATTATCAAAATGATTCTTTCTAATAAAACATTTTTCTAAATTAGTCCTCAATAAATGTTAATTACTTATATGGTCTTTTATAATTGAGATTTATTTCCTATGTAGTCTTTCATAAATAATATTATTACTCAAATGATGATTAATTGAGAAGATATTTTGTATGAGATTAAGAAGGCGTAGAAGTAATGTTAAATTTAGAGGAAAAAACAAGGATAATTATGTCCATTCAGACCAAAAGAAAAAGTTTTTAGAACAAGCAAAAGGTGAAAGAGAAAATTTTAAGGATTTGAGGGAACATTATCTATTCGTGCTATTTTCTCCGTCGAAAAAAGATGTCATATTACGTAAATAAAAGTGAAATTTTAAGTTTATGTATATGTGTGTGTATTCAAGAACTACGTCAAAGTTCTACAAAACAAGAAGTAACAAGAATATTTTGTTTTATCAAATAACCCAAATAAATAAAGTTTTCGTGATCTTCAATTAGTGAAATATGACATTTTTCGGACGAAAGAAATTTGTTTTTTTCTCGAACTATTAAAAAGGGGGCGGAATTTGAATTATCTTAATTATTTTTTTCAAGGGAATGATCTTAATTAATTGATCGTACTATATACTCCGTATGTGCCCGTAATGTACGAAATTATTGAAATTGCAACAAAACTTAGTACTACTAAATATGGCCCCCTTTTCTTATATAGAAAAACAATTATTTGGACCCCCTTTTTATTTAAGAAATTAATATATGGCCCCCTTTTTAATTAAAAAAATGGCCCCATTTTCTATGTGCCCCCACACCCTCGGAAAATGAATGGTTTATGCAGATTTGCCTCTATAATATAGTGGCATTACATTATTATTGTTATCATTATTCACATTTTTTCAATATTGTTTTTAGCTCAATTAAAAGGTGAAAGAAAGTCATTCTAAGAACAGCTCAAAAGGAAAAAAAGAATAAACCACAACGGAGAAGTAAAAACCATGGGTTTAATTGTTTTTTTTTCTTTTTCTAAAAGTTGGTTAGAAGATTAGAGTTTGACTTTGAGAATGTTGAGGACAAAATTGATTTAGGGTGTGTTTGTTACCTTGTTTGGAGATAAAATATTTCCTTAATTAGATGAATATTTTGCACGTTGGGGGTTGATGACAAGGTAGGAGGGGTTGGGGTGACAAATGGGGTTTAAGGCCGGAGGGATACAAACCAAAATTATTTTTTCTTTGTTAGAAATAAAGATTATACGAATATTGTTATTAACAAAATGATAGAGATATACATTAATAAGAACACAAAGAAAGATCAAAGTGCAATGATGAATCAAAGGAGAAAGAATGTAAAAGATATCAAAGAGAATAATGTACAATTTCAACACATAGAGCCTCTATATATATAGGCTTACAAAGGGGAAAGCAAAGGTCTAATCTTAATGGGGATTATCAAAAGACATAGAGAACATCAAAAGACATTTGTACATAACATTCTTTAATTTGATGGGAGATAATATTTTTAAAAAAAGATACTCCTCTGTCCCAAAATATGGAAGATTTTGATTTTTAAGGAATTTAAAAAAATGTATTTTGGTATTTAGTTTTTAAAAATATCCTTTGATGTGGTGATAAATAAGAATAGAAGTTCATGTGTAAATTAATAATGAATAGATGTCATGTGATATGTAGGTTAAAAATTAGTAGTGGTAAACGTGATTTTTTAATAGAATGAGAAAAGTTTTTTGGGACGGTTGAAAAAAAAAATAAGAAAAATTTTCAGAGACGAAGGGAGTATTAGACAGCTTCATTTTTCTAAGATCTCGACCGTGTTGTTGTGAATATACCATAGTTTTAATAACCGAACCGGACCAGCTAGACCGGTTTTACGCTAGAATGCATTTTGTTACATTTTAGCTTAATGTATCTAAATATTCAATAATTAAAAAATAAATATTCTAAAGGATTTTATTTTACTTTTTAAAAACTTTGAAATCTATAATGTTATAGCTATAATTCAAACTCAAAACCATTGATACGATTATTACTATTACAAAATGCATATCACACATATTTTATTTGACTGTTACGTTTTGTTAATATTAGATAACTTATTATTTGAAAAATCACTTCTTATTTTATAAAATTTTAATATTGTTTTCAAATATGTGAATTTTATTTTTTTTTATCTAGTCACATAACTCAAGTAAATTAAATTGATTATAATTTTGGTCAATTGTCAAAAATTGTTTACTCTGGTTTTTTTATAAATGAGGGAGTATAATTTTTATTAGTTATATATAGTTTTTCATGCATACATACAAACACACACGCATATCTCTGTATGTGTGTGTTTGAACAACTAATAAACCAGTGTCTTGATCGGTTCGGTCTCCGATCCAATGTTTAAAGAGGACAGTTGAATTTAACAAGCGTAAAATTTGGTTAAACAGGTTCTATCCAAGTAAATACAACAATGAGATAAAATCGTTGAAAAGTGAGGTGGAGGGTCTACTAATGGAGATCATAAGAAGCCGGAGAGAGAGCGCCGAGATCGGGCGGAGCAGCACCTACGGCGACGACCTACTGGGACTGTTACTGACGGAGATGGAGGGGAATATTCCCCACAGCAAGAAGGGAATATTCCGTCTGAACTTGCCGTTGATAATGGACGAGTGCAAGACCTTCTTCTTCGCCGGCCACGAGACGACGGCGCTTCTGCTCACTTGGACCGTGATGCTCCTTGCTACTAACCCTTCGTGGCAAGAGAGAGTTCGAGAAGAAACCTTGCAGCTCTGCAATGGCGGCCCTCCCTCCATTGATCACCTCCCCAAGCTCACCGTGGTAACCTACCTACCTAGTGAAAATCTTTCTTATTTTGATTTTTTGGTCAAATAGTGATACTCTTTGACCACGAATTAGAGATAATGTAAATAAATAAATGATAGGGTACAAAAAATTGATGCATCAAAACTATATCCTAAGATTAACTCAATTATATTAAATTTATATTCAAATTTGATATATTTTTTCTCACAATTTATGGTCAAATAATATCATAATTTGATAAAAAAAAGTCCAAAGAAGAAAGATTTTTAGGACTGGAAGAAATATATTTTTTCTACTAGTGATGTTTATATATATTTTATCCGTTTACAGCTCATCTTTTTTTTTCTACTCCCTCCGTTTCCTTAGACTTTTTCTACTTTCATTTTTTTCTTATCCCATAAACTTCTTCCATTTTTCATTAAAAACCCACTTTTACTCTCTACTAATTCCAATCTTATCTATCACATCATATCTTTTTACTAATAATCTATTTATCATATCTTACCTTTACATTTCACATTAAAGATATTTTTCGAAAGTCAACGCAAAAATAACTCTCCTTAAATTGTCAATAAGAGAATAATAACTTAAGGGACGGAGGGAGTATATTTTCGTTTTCAATAAAATATATTCATGTGTCATCTCTAGTATTATACTTTGAGGATATTTGATTTAGTTTTTAAAGGAGTACATAATTTTCATTTTAAAATAATATATCACCATTTAATAAATTAGATTAATCATCCTAATCTGAAACATGAATCTAGTTTTGAGGCAAAAGAAGTACTCCATCCGTTTCATAAAACAATTCGTATTTTGACTTTTAGAATAAATAAGTAATGTATATTTGTAGTTGACCTTTCAATTTTGTCCTTGATTTGATAGGTAAAAATAAGATGTGATGAGTAGATTATTAGTGAAAAAACATAATATGATAGGTAGAATAATAAAAAGTATGTGTAAAAATAGTTTTTTAATGTATAATTTTTTTGAAATGGTATCCGAGTCTTGAGAACATAAATATTGCAAGTTAGAATCTCACTACCACTTAATTATTACACCCTCCGTTTGCAAAAAGACTTCCTATTTTGACTTTGAGCAAAAATAAGGAAGTGTTAAATTATAGTTGACTTCCAATTTTGCCCCTGATGTGATGGGTAAAAGTAAGATGTGATGGATAGATTATTAGAGAAAAAGTATGATGTGATAGGTAGGGTATGAAAAAGTAAGGGTAAAAGTGGTTTTTTAATAGAAAGTGGAAGTGTTTTGTTGGAAGTGAAAAAAATGAAAGAAGAAGTATTTTTAAGAACGAAGTGAGTATTTTTTTTAAAAAAAAAAAAATCATACATTAACATTCACGTTCAAGGCTTGCTGCACAAACAAATTTCACATCGACCTAGTACAAACACAAGTTCTTTTGGTTCAATTAGTTCTTTAATTTCATAACATATGAACCTGCAAATTTAATAAATCATAATTGATACATTGCATGCAGCTAAACGCAGTGATAAATGAATCACTCCGGCTATACCCGCCGGTGACATTGCTGCCACGGATGGCGTTCGAAGACTTCAAGCTTGGCGACCTCCACATTCCAAAGGGTCTATCAATATGGATTCCGGTACTAGCCCTCCATCACAGTGAAGAAATATGGGGAAAAGACGCGAATGAGTTCAACCCAAACAGGTTTCTCTCAAAGCCATCCCACTTGCAGGCTGTTCGGAGTTCTTTCCTCCCTTTCGCCGCCGGCCCCCGGAACTGCATTGGCCAATCCTATGCTTTGATGGAAGCCAAGATTGTGTTGGCCATGTTGATATCAAAGTTCAGCTTTCAGATCTCGGAGAGCTATCGTCACGCTCCTGTGGTTGTCATTAGTATCAAACCTAAGCACGGCGTTCAAATCCGTCTCAAGCGTTTGATCAACAAGTGATCGTTCGTGCTTTGAGCCAAGCCTGCACGGATTTATTTTTTTATGTTTTTTTTTGTGGAGAGTTTCTTTTTCCCTTTCTATACACAACCTTTTTTGTATACAACATTTTTGTTGAGGCCAGTGCTTATATTAGGCCTAATGGTAGTATGGGGAACACGGATACATAATGAAAGCTAAATTTTGAGAGATTGAGTTGTATGAGACCGATAAGTTTGTTTTGTACGCACTTATCCTTTCCGTATTTATTGTGTCATTGTCCAATTTTGGATCAATCATGACAATTTCTCAATTATTTTTATAAGTTTTTCTTTATAATTGTAACATTGCACAAAAGTTATGTCTTGTTGCAAAGAATAAAAATTGAGTCAAAAGTTATACAAAAGAGGGTGAAAGTTAGAAAATGCATAGCATCATTAGAATTGAGGTCAAACTTGAAGAAAATTGTTTAAAGATAAAGATCACAAGCCAAGAAAGAGATTGAATTGGGTCTTGAAACAAAAAGAATTGAAGAAAATGATGAATAATGAAGTTTTGGGCCGAAAAACAGCTCAGGCCTATGGATGTCGGATGCCAGGACCTCTGACGAAAGCATATCGAAAATTCAGTCACGGAAAATCAAGAATCTGGCTTAGGCCCACACCTGCCGGAGGCCTGGACCGATTTTCTCCTAAAGAAATCACCCTACGTAGCACTCTAAGTCACTCAATATTGCGCATATAGCACTCCTTAATCTTTTATACGAATTTAGTTATTTATAGTGTCAATATCTTCCAAACATATCCTCTGCCTTTTATTATATTCTACTTTTTAAATTACTTTTAATTATTTGATTAAACTTATGTTATTCAAATAGTCACTCCTCCTCATACGTGCGATTTCTCCTCATTCGTGTGTCTCATATGTGTGAGAACATCACGCTACGCCGTTTACCATTGCTATGCGAGATCTTCTTCATACAAAGTTTACCAATGTATAATAGAATACCTAAACAAGTTCGTATGTATTAAATTAAGTTCCATATTTAACGCCCATGTTTGGCTAGTGTGTTTTGGTGTGATAGACTGTTTATAAAATCAGCCATACACTTTTGGGCAGTGTGAAATTCATACATGAAAATAGTCATACACATTTTGGGCAGTATGGAATTCATACATGAAAACAGTGTGTCATTTATACATAAAAAGAGATCTACATTTTTTGGACGGTGTGGAGTTCGTACATGAGAACAGTCATACACTTTTTGACAGTGTAGAATTTATACATGAAAACACTGCCACATGAATGATAAATCAATGGGCATTACACTCCAAAACGAGATTAAGGAACATGATAACACACTTATACACTGCCATAAAATATAACAACATATATGCATCTACATTGCCACATTAAGTACTCACATATAAAAAACCACACTGCCCACTACACAATTACAAGTGAACAACCATACTGCCCAAAACATTATTCATACTTTTTTGGCAGTGTGTAATGAATATTTACTGTTTAATTAAAGGACAAAATCGGAATCACAAGTACGAAACATATAGCACCGATATTTAGAGTATTTTAAGACTCTAAGAGTGCTATTTTGGTTTTTCTCCCTTTCTCCGATAAAAGTAGGGTTTCACCCCTCCATTCACCAACCAACCAATTTCGGGACTTCTAAGGCCCGGAACTCCATTTTTAGCCTCGTTACCAATTATATTTTGATATTTTAGTTTAGTTTTGTTCCAGTTGTCCCAAAGTGACCCCACTCTGCTCTTGGTTGTAAGTTTATTTTTAAAACTTTTAATAAAATGTTCTTTTATTTTATGCACTCTTAATATTTAGAATGTGTTAAGAATCAGATTAGAGTCCTCACTAAATTTGGGCATATACTTTGTATGTTTATTTAATAGTTGTAATAATTGTTATAGAAATTTTTTATTGTTAAATTAATTAATTATGTCGAGAAAAAATTAAATAATAATTCAAAATTAGTTTTTGCCTTGTCTATGAGGAAATGAAATTAATTAAGTCAAACTTTTTAAAATACATTAATGTTGCCTTCAGAGAGGATAAGTTAATGAAATATTTGTGAAAAAATATTATTATTCCAATTATTGATTAAATATGTGACGAGAGTAGTTAACTCAGATGATGTCTTGGCCCGAAGTCTAGTCTTATGCCCGTACTAATTATTTTACTTCTCTCAAAAGCACCATAGTTGTGTTATTAATTACTCCGTATTTTCAAATCAAATCGAGAAGACATCCAGACCTGTCCAAACCTTTGTCTATTTTTTGTTCAAAAATAAAAAAGAAAGCTTGGAAATTTATAAATACTCCCAAGGGATTTAAATAAAGAAGAATCTTTCGTATCATTTTTAAGTTCAATATTTTTATTTCTTACTCCCTCCGCCCCTAAATAAACTTCTCCTTTCGTTTTTTCTTTGTCCCTAAATAAACTTCTCTTTTCCCTTAAAAAACCCCTTTACCCCTTACTTTTTCATACCCTACCTATCACATTATACCTTTTTACTAATAATCTATATATCACATCTTACTTTTACACATCACATCAATGATATTTTTGGAAAGTTAACTCAAAAATATCCCTCCCTTAAATCCTTAAAAAGTCAAAAAGGAAAGTTTATTTAGGAACGGAGTGAGTATTTTGTAATTCTTGAGAGAAGTATTTGAGAAATATATTCGATAGAATTAAAGTTCTATTAATAGTCAAAGTTATTATCAAGACATGAAGAACATGATGATAATAAAAAGGAACTAACTTTAGTGAGGGTGACACAAATCTAGTTTGTAGAGATCTGGTCTGATCTGATTTAGTTCGATTAATAATAAGGAATACACCCTCCGTCGAGATATGAATTGTTATTTTGATTTACAGGGTTTGACTGTCATTATTTTCAATTCAATTTTTTTGATTGCATATGAATAATTCAAAAATAAAATTTACGATTTTAAGCATGCAAAAAAACTTTTATACTATTATGAAAGAAGTAGTGAAAACAAACAAATAAAATTCGTAGATATAGTTTAACCTTGTAAATAATGTATGGATAATTTTTTTGAAGAGGTCAAGTAAGTACTCCATAATAAGAATATGTTGAAGAAGACCAAAAGTCCTAATAAGTACTAGTCCAAGCCAATTTTGGTTTACGAGATTTGATGAATTTTATTTTCAATTGAATTTATTTGATTGTAGTTGTAAATTCATAAATAACATTTACGTATTTTAAAAGTATATTTAAAGCTTTTCAAAACAAGAGATGACAAATATCTTTTATATTATGAAATGAAATTGAAAATAAACAAACAATATGAATAGAGTTTGATAGTGTAAATATTGTGTGAACAATTTATTTTTGGATAAAGAAAGTAAATAATATTCAGTAAGCGAATAAGTAGAAGACAATAAGCTTAATATCTTGTTCTTTTCGTTTTATCTAATTTTATTAAAGTCTCATACTCGGTATGATTTAAGCTTGTTCTTTTCAATTTACTTTTTTACTTATCACTCCCTCCGTTCCACAAACTCTTCCCCTTTCTTTTTTTGCTTTCCATAAAACATTTCCATTTTCTATTAAAAAACCACTTTTACCCCTACTTTTTCATACCCTACCTATCACATCATACTTTTTCACTAATAACCAAACTATCGCATCTTACTTTTTCCTATCACATGAGGGGCAAAATTGGAAAGTCAACCAAAATTACACTTTCCTTATTTTTCCCCAAAGTCAAAACCGGAAGGATTTTGTGGAACGGAGGGAATATATATTATCATTGGAATCAACTCATATCAAGTTAGAAATACTTTAAATATAACTACAATAAAATAGAACAGACAAGAACTTATTACAATCATATAAGAACCAATTAGATTTGGTGAAGAAAATAAACACTATTTAACATATAATAATATACAATGAACTAGGATATTCCCTCATTTCAAAAATTATCTTCTCGTTCACTATTCAGAGGGTCAAACGTTTTTCATTTTGTTGGCTTATTTTTGTTGTCCATTTGATAAAATAATATAGTCTTATCACCCCTAGATTTGTAGATCTTTTAATATAGTTTTTAAATATGCAATTTTTAATTTCATACCATTTTTTATATAAAATAATTTAAAAATAACTTTAGTCAAACATCGTAATGCGCACCATGAAGATAATTTTTGGACACAATAATATTTGAATGGGATAAATGACCAAGAATGGAGGGAGTAAGTAATAGACTATAGAAATCATCCTAAATAGGACTAAAACATAGAGAAAAGTACCAAAATAGGACTTTCATATTTTTTTTCTCGGAATAGGACTTTGCATTGTGGTAATATGACTTTGCGGTAATGCGGCAGTGTACATGTGCAAATTACTATACTTTTTTGGTAATGTAAGTCCTATTTCGAGAATAAAAACATGAAAGTTATATTTTGATATATTTTTAATGTTTTAGTCTAAGTTTGGTCTTTATCCAAATAGACTTCCAACTTCCAAAGCCCCGTTTGGCATCAGCGTCAGAGATTAGAGTTAGCGTTTTGAAAAAGCTATCCGATGGTAGCTAGCGTTAAGGTTTTCAGAATTAATACAAAGAGGTGGTTGGCTGCAATTGGTATGAAATTCCTTCGCTTCCCTTTACTTCGAATTTTTCCGTTTTTCTAGAAACTCGCCTTCCCAGGCAACGAAACAAATCAAACAATGGGTGCTGAAAACGATCCGGACTTTCCCAATCCCACCATAGAAATACTCCGTATTTATTACGGATCAAAATATGAAAAGAGAAAGAAGAAAAGGGAAAATTGAAAATCTGCAGGAAAATTGTTGGCATCTGCAAGTGATTACAGAGCCGTTATGGGGAAGAACGGCAGATTCCCGGGCGTGAGCGAGGAGGTGCAGAAGCTGGTTGATGCGGACATGGACTTCGTAGATGCCAGGCGTCGTGCTCGCGAAGCTTTTAAGCAGATTCAGCTCTCAGTCGACCATGTTCTGTTCAAGGTATTGCCATTAATGGAGTCTCATTTCCTCTTATTCTTCGTGTGATTTTTGGATTAGAATGTCTGCGTTTATGTTTCTCTCTCAAAGATTTGATCTTTAATGCCGTAAGCCCGTACCTGATTGATTTTTTAGCTGATTTGACGACCCAAAGAAGCTAGAATCTCAATTCCTTTGGGTCCCATTAAGATGTACACAAATTTATCCTTCTAAAAAAACAGATATGGAGTAGAATGTTTTTTCAATTAGACCCACTTGATTTATGGATGCCTTTACTATCCAAAACTTCATAGAAAGTAATTAGTTTAACCGGTCATTTTGATTTAGTTTGATATTTAATCGAAAACGTAACGTTCTCTGCCTAATAATGAGGTGTTTTTGTTTTTCACATATTTAACACTTGTCCAAGCTAAGATTGTGTGGGAAAAACCTATACTGATGAATTGGGATCTCATTATTCATAAAAATGTTGTGACCATGAGAGCTTTGTGAGTATGTTAACTCATCTTTTAAAGAAATGACATTGAAGTTTTATGCCACTAGATCCAACGCATTTGGGTTTTGGAGCTCGTTGGTAAGGGTAATTTGGGTAACGCTATTCAGCCTATTCTAGTGTGAGATGTCTGCTATACCATGGCACGGCATAGCACTAAGGGAACTTTGTGTGTAGCAAGTCAATAAATTTTTTCCCTTTATACGAAGAGTTTCACTTGTGTGTAAATTTTGGCTGAGGTAGCTGAATTTGCTAAAATTTAAAGGAAATAATATCTAAAAATATTGGCAGGAATGTTATTTTAGTATTCCATTCACTTTAGCAACATTTTCCATTGAAATACGTTTTGCATTACAGTTTCACTTATGAACAAGTTCAATCAACATGCTCAATTAGGTAAATTTTTCTGGAAAAAAATGGTTGGTATGCAAATAAAAATTTGCCACTAAATGGGAATTTAATAGTTGATGTGCTGCTTTTACAGCTTATGCTGCAAAGGTGAATTTTACTTGTCCAAAGTAGCTTAAACTGGTTGAATTAGAGGACTTATCTAACTTAAGTAAATGTGTGTGTAGCTATAATATTTACTCCGTATATATTAAAATAAAAATATCTTAAACAAAGGTAAAACTCTAGTTTTTCCATTTTAGTCAAAGTAGTAACATCTACACAAATTAGCTGATATCAGACAAACAAGTAGATAAATTATTTTAACAATCTGTTACTTAAGGTAGTTATAGTGTTGTCACTTTCACATATGGTTGAGTTATGGCTTTGTTATTGATTACTTGAAGTTGATAATTGATACACTCAATATTGAGGTTCCAACTTGTACTTCACTTATTACTTATTCTTATTAGAATCAGATCAGATCAGATTAGAAATAGCTAAAAATATAACTACATTTAGATCAGATCAAATTAGAACTTATTCCAATCAGATTAGAACCAATCAAATCAGGTGAAGAGAACATGGCCTAAGTGTCATATTCATTAATATTTCCTTAAACCTTAAGCTTGTGCAAGAAAGCTTATTTTCTTAGGTCATTTATAAACTGATGTTGCTTACTACGTTTTTGGATCATTATAGACTGAGTCATTGTGATGCTTTAGAATTGCAAATTTGCTTCCAAATGATGCTACCTACCCTTTCAATATTCTCAGTCATTTTTTCTTTTGTTTCTACAGACTCCTTCTGAAGGTTTAAAGATGGAAGAGGTACAGATATGAACGTGATCCCTTTGGTTTGGGACTTCATAGCTTTTACATTTTCCTTATATTTGCATAGCATTAATTAAGTATCCCATTACAGCTGCCCTTTTAAATCAAATTTTGCATAGTTTGATTAGTTCTAATCCATAGGCATAAAGCTGACTATTTCTTATTGTATGGAAGTCTTATGAGGTTAATTCAAGAGGACTAGAAATTTTTTGCAAAAGTTGGCTTCCAGAAACACCCAAAGCAGTGATATGCTTTTGTCATGGTTATGGAGATACTTGCACATTTTTCTTTGAAGGTATACTATCATATATTTTCTAATAATTTATTCCATCTGTCCCAAAGTAAACTTCACACTTTTATTTTCCGTGTCTCAAAATAAACTTCACGCTCTCTTTATTTTCTTTGTAGGAAAGGTCACTCACATCATTTCTTTTTCTTCTAAACAAATTCTTTCCATACGCTTTTCACTTTTCAACACTTATCTTAAATTTCAGAAGTCAAAATTATTTTGGGTCTTTGGGACAGATGGAGTATTGTTCCTTTTCCTTGTCATAATGTGTTGTTTCATTTTCATAGTCCTTGACTCCTTGTTCCGAGTCAAAATGGGAATTTATTTAGGGACCAAGGGTTCATTGAATACAATTGCTCAATCAATATATGTACATTTCAAAAGAATTAGAAGTATTAAAAATATTATCTTAACTTGATTTTCTGGTAGAAGGTCTGCATACACCCACGACCCATCCTCCCTGACCCCCACTTTGTGGGATTTTACTACGTTTGTTGTTGAAAGCAATTTTTTTCAATGTAGGTGTTGCACGGAAGTTGGCTAATGCTGGATATGGAGTTTTTGCCATGGACTATCCTGGATTTGGTCTTTCAGAAGGTCTTCATGGCTATGTACCTGATTTTGACAAACTAGTTGATGACGTCATTGAGCATTACTCAAAAATTAAAGGTATAACTGAAGTCTTAAACTCAGTTCATCATTTCTTTGATTCAGAAGTTTTGGTTTTTCATAGTGGACTAATGGAAATGGAATCTGATTATATGTTTAAGAGGCAAGTAAACAAATCACTTCAAAGTTAGAATAGAGTGGTTTTAAAAGAAAATCTCTTCAGAGTTGGAATTATATTTGGTTTTTGTTGTTGTTAGAATGTAACGAATCTAAATAAATGCTTTTCACAGAAAATCCAGAACTACATGGTCTTCCAAGCTTCCTTTATGGTGAATCAATGGGTGGAGCTGTAGCTCTGAAGGTGCACCTGAAACAGCCAGATTCATGGAGTGGGGCTATTCTTTCCGCGCCTATGTGCAAAGTACGCATTGGCAGTGTTTCCTACTTGTAACACATGTATTGTTCATTTCTTTGTTTTTTAAACTTTTATTGCAAATGAATGTGCTGATGAATACTAACTTCTAACAGATTGACCAAGACTTGGTTCCACCATGGCTGTTAACACAAGTTTTAATTGGCGTGGCAAAATTTCTACCCAAACAGAAGCTCGTTCCTCTAAATAATTTGGGTGATTTGGCATTTAGAGAAGCAAATAAACGGAAACAGGTATGCCTCTATGTCTGGCAAGAAGAGATCAGCCTGATGGAGTAGAGTGCTAGGACTTTTTCATATTATAGAAGAGTACCCAAGAGGCTTCATTTCGTCACTGGTTCTGGTTGTTCTACTTTTCAGCGTAATAATCAGGATGAATAATTAACCTTTTGACCTACTAATTTGGCTTTTATGGGTTTATACAAAGTTATTTTCTGTCCGTTTTAATCAAATAGCACTTCCCCAGCTAGCCCAAAATTTGGAAGGGCGGGCCTGACACTACTAACTAGTGCAGTCTCCTTAGGCCCTATATGCCTGGGGTTCGAATCCATATCCTTGCAGAATCAAGGGAAAGGTGTCATAGATTACCGCATCCCCCCCCCACACACACACGACAAATTGTATGGGAGCTTCAAGGGTGTTTACGTCTGTTAGTTGGCATGCAATGCTTGGATATGTGTGTCACACACACACTCCCACACACACATACAATGATCAGTTAACTAAATGTTTCATTTTATCTGTTCAAAATGCAGGCAGCCTATAATATCATTGCGTATAGGCATAAACCACGTTTGAGAACGGCCTTGGAATTATTGAAGACTACCAAAGAAATAGAGGAGTCACTAGAAAAGGTGTGTGAACATTTTCTGTTATGTATGGTTCCATCGTTGACCGTTAATTACAAGTCAACAACGTGTCCCATGAAAAGACTCCACTTTTTAGTTTTAGCAAGGTACAACTCTCATATAGCACTGAAACATCCAAGCTTCTGAACGAGTTGAGAAATATGACCCTTTTAACGGGACACGTACAAGTTGAGAGACGCTTATGTGACAGGACTAATATTCATGAGTGAAATATTGTTCACTTGAGATTTTGTTAATTTTCAATTGCTTGAGTAGGATTTTGTTAATTTTCAACTGCTTGAGTAGGATTTTGTTAACTTTCAACTGATTGAGCAGGATTTTTAACATATACTATATATATATCCAAACCCAACCCAAATTATTTACTTTCTGGTTGAATCTTAATACAAAAGTTGAGTTTCCCTATGCATGTTTCTCAAACACCATTGTATCCCCATTTCTGCCATACTTAAGAAGTGGTGGTCTGATTTGCAGGTCTCATTACCGTTATTAATCTTGCACGGGAAGAAAGATTTATTGATCGATCCATCAGTAAGTGAAGCATTATATGAGAAGGCAAGCAGCCGTGACAAGAAGCTTAACCTTTACCAGGAGTCGTACCATTGCCTGCTTGAGGGTGAGCCAGATGAGATGATCCAAAAAGTCTTTGAAGACATGATTTCTTGGCTGGACGAGCATACTAAGGCACGTTAATTGTTCCTTTCCGCTTTCTTTTCTCTGTGCACTTTTGCTATTTTCTTGGGAAAAGAAAGATGGGATTCGGGGCAGGCGATGGCATCACGTCTTTTGTTGTATATGGAGTACTTTGTATTATACTAGTAATTTATTTTCTTTGATTAGAACATAGAAGTCTCTATATTTCTGGGGCTGGAGGTAAGGTCTACTACATACATCTTGTCCCTAGTCTCTATATTCTTTGGTTTGGTTTGTTTTGTTTAAATTCTTTGAAAGGAGTTGCAAACGATGCATGCTCGAAATAATGTACAAGCTTTTGTTGTAAAGTTCAAACATTTGATAGATATATTTTGTTTATAAGGAGAACATTAACTGTCTTGGAGAGCATATCATTTGGAATAAAGAGCATTTTGAGGTATCATAAGAGTTTTCTTTCTTCATAGAGTATTTCGAAAACACAAAAAAAAGGTGTAATTTGAGTTTTCTTTGCTGGAGCTCCCAATATCCCTCCCCATTGGAGGTTAAACCCGACACGTGTCCGAACGAGATTTGCAGTTGTTAAATCCCTTGGAGGAAGTTTTTGTCACATGCCTTTGTTATGTGACAACATCATTTCTAAAGGATTCATCAATTCTAGAAGTGGTAGCATGGTAGGTAGTCTAACTGGTGACCTATTGGAAATCATGTTGGGTCCAAGGTCATTAGTGTAAATGAGGTGTTTTAAAAGAGCGAGTACATGTAGTACTTCATTCGTAAAATTGATTATTCATACCTCCCAACCCCGCCCACCCCCATCACCAAAGTTTTGTTGATCAGGGTCAAAAGTTTGACCTCAAAGTCAAAACTATGGGGATGAAACTGAATGGTGTGGCGGGAAGATAAAAATCATCAATTTTACAAACAGAACAGAACATTGTAGGTACTTAAATTAGAGCGAGCCAATGTCATCCGATCACTTTTGATTGGAACCTTGCCGGTATGTTGTAACGGGCAAAACCCGGGCTTGTTATGGTTCAAAAGGCTCTTGGTTTGCCAAATTCCAAAAGGACGAAAAGTTATTCCCTCCGTCCCTAAATATTTGCAACATTTGTTTTTTGATCAGTGGCGAGAACTTTTGTTTATTTCTACGTTTTCAATGGTTATTTGATAAAATAAAATATTCTTGACACTTCTTATTTCGAATAACTTTTCATGTAGTTTTTTGATATGTAAATTTTATTTTTTATTTCTATACCAATATGTAAATAAAATAAATTGAAAACTCTTGATATTTTACTTCGAGAATACAAACAAATATTTAGGGACAGAAGGAATATTTTTTTATACATTTTGAACGGAACAGAGATATTGTTCTTACTATGTATAAAACCACATTATCACCATATACAAAAGTGGGGCATGCATCTTATTACTCACTGCATACTACAAGAAACGCCCACTTGTGACTTCACATGTACACACTATAGTAACTTACTCTCTTTCATTCACATTTAAACTTAACCGACCATGTGACCTTTAAGATACATCAAAAGTTAAATGAACATTATCATGCATCATGTCCACATTCATTCAACTTTTAATGTATCACAAAAAGTCATAATAATCGGTTAATTGTGAACGATTGGAGTAAACCAAAACCACTACTCATAACATGATCTCACTCCAGCTCTGAATAGACTTAAACCGGTTGCGGTGGTGGAGACGGTGACACTTGTGTTTACAGGCGCGAACAGCACGTGTCCTTCGGAGACTGCCTCGTTAGATGATCTTGTGCTCATCGTTCCATCTCCGGTCATAATGACAAAAATAGATGGGCCCGGAGCGGCAGGGAAGACAGTGGTTGCTAATCGAGGAAGGGCACAATGGTCAACTTCAAACTCATCAAAGGGAGGGCTGTATCTCTTTGTATATGGACCCAAAGCATCTCCTTTAAGGATTTCCGGGAATACCTTCATGAAGAAGGGGTCAGATCAGAGGAAGGATAAAATAGTATTCACTAGAGAAGCATTTAATATTAATAGAATACTTAATGCATGTGGATGGAAACTATTAATCTGTTGCTTTCAAGAAACAACCAGAAACGATTTCAAAAAAGAAAAGAAAAAGAAAGAAACCAGAAACACATTGTGAACTCAAACATTTGATGTAATTTGGACTGCATTTTGGGGATTTGGAATACTCCCTCCATCTAGATTGTTCTTCCACTTTGACTCTTTTTTAATCAAACTGAACGAACTTTGATCATCAATCAAATAAAATTGTATCAGTAACAAAATTACAATTTTCTTTTGATTGATGATAAAAGTTTGCTCACTTTGATAGGAAAAAGTGAAATTGTGCAAATATTGTGTAGCGGGCCTAATCATTGCCTACAACTTTCCAAACAACAAACATCCTAAGTGAATCTGGACTAATTATTGAATTGCTTCATAGTTAGTTTGAGGTCAAGGGGGGTTTTTTGTTGTTGAAAGTTCAAGGTCAAATCTGGGTATTTAGCCAAGTGGCCAAAAGCATGATCTATGACGCATTAAAATGCTTGAGAAGTAGGCTTTCCAAGTTCCACAGACATTTCAGAGATCTTTTAAATAACTTTTGATGTAGTAATTAAGTGAGAAAAGTAATTGATACCTGATTGTATGTGAGCATTGAACAAAGGGTCTTGACGTCACGATTCTTTGGGGTAAGGCCAGCACGCACAACGTTGTCTGAGGTTGCCATACATTCAATGCATTCACCAAACAGATAGGCGTGAGGCTCATTTGCACCCAAATACAAAGCTTCACCAGGACTGAGTTTAACATGGTTAAACAAGAATGCTGCTATAACACCAACATCGCCTGGATATTGCTTTTCAAGTCTCAACACTAGCTGCTCTTTGTCAGTGAGCTCCCTTGCCTGTAATATGACAGCAATACAGCATGTGAGAGGCTAAGAGCTATAACTGAGAAGGCTGGCTTCCGGGGTAAAAGTCAGTTTAGAATAAGATATCAGTATGAAACCTTGTTTGGATATCTTTTTTCCTTGTTCGGTTCCTGTTTGGTTCGAATTAATATAATTTGGGAAAACCAAACAAAAAATGATTTGCAAATGATAGATGAGGATGCTGAGATGTATCTGGGGTCATAAGCGGATGGATAAGATCTAAGGCGGTGATGTTTAGGGGATGGTGAGAGTGATCTCTGAGGAGCCACATCTGTGTTTTTGTGCCTACATTTGTAGTTTCTGCGTGTGTTTTCGTTTGTTAATGTATTCACACTTCGTTCATGGTTTCCTTTACTGTTGTGATCATATGTTACAACCTTTAATTGCTGAGCAGGGGTAGGGTTTACGCACCCCCCCCCCCCCAGATCAATCACACTATGCATGATTTCTACTGGGTTTGTTGTTATTGTTGTATTAATAAAAGATATGAAGTCCTCAGAAATTGATGAAACTAACCAAAATGAATTATAATTCAAACTACAAAGCACTTCTATAGCTAGTTGGTACAATAGATATGCACAAGTAAGACGAAGGGCAGAGTTCAATTTACCTCACGTTTTATATTAAGCCGGCTTATCAGTTTGGTTAGGGCTTGTGAAACCACATTGCTGCTAGCTGACATAAGCGTCGTAAACAACGACTGCAGAATTGGTTTTGCATTCTCATCCATTTCATGGGCGTTAACATGCAACACCTCCTCTACATGCACACTGCCAACCACTTCCCTGATCTCCGGAACAGTTTGGATAACAAGCTTGAGCTCCTGGAAATAACAAAATCTATGTGCCTATAAATCACCCTCATGCCCTTCTATAAACATCACAAGAATTTGACTTCACACGGAACACAAAGTTGTTTGCCCATTTAGTTTGAAGTTTGTGCTTTTAATTGAGGCGATTATTGCAGACTTACTTCAACATGCATAAGAATCTAGATCTAGGGTGGGGAAAACCCCCAAATCTCAATCTCAACAATCCCATCCATCTCAACAATCCCAATGGATGGGATGAATTGTTATTAATTAAAACAAGTCAAAGTCTTGATAATCTCAACATCCCGTCATACAAATATTCAAAAAATAAAATTAAGAAAGAAAACTAAAAATGCAAAAATGTTGTCATTTTCATCATTGATGTTTCATTAAGCTCTTGTTCGTATGATTTGTAAGACTCAATCGACATTCATTAGCGTTTTTTATCTGACGAACTTGAGCTTCAAAATTATCACGTTCATAACTTTAATTTCCTAAGTTTCGTCTAATGGATCCTCACCTAGATCTATTTTGTTTTTTTCAAAAAAAAAAATTAATGAAACACAATTTCATTTTTAGTTACAGTACAATAAAAAAAGTTTGGCATTTAAAAAAATTAGAATGCTAAAAAACAATTAAACAACAATTAAAAATAAGAAAAAACAGATCACAAAATAAACAATTTAGCTAATTAAAAAAAGTGTTAATAAAACAAAATCAAAATAGTTATATACAGACCACCTAACCTTATTGAATTGGTAGTTGTCAATTGACATTTTCATGTTTACCAATCACATGGTGGTAATTTGACATTCACAAAAAATATGAAGGATTTTAAAGGACAATTTTGTCAATTTCTAGCCATAAAGCAAACAAGTGGAGTGCAACCATAACTATAACATTTTTGGAGTGCATTTATTTATCAATGCCATTTTTAGTTTTTTACACCACTTTTGACATCACATGAAAGTAGAAAGAAGCCGGCAAGTGTTAGACATAGTTTGGTTCCTAATAACTACGCTGGCAGACAACTATAGGGCTCATCCATCACATGAAAGTAGACGAAGAAGAAAAGAGAGAGTACCTCGAAACTAATGAACCCGCACAAGGCTTCAAAATCAGTGATTGCCAGAGCCATCTCCGGCTTGTGATTATCATCCTTGTACACCTCAGGCTGCTCTTTGTGCAGCCGAGCAGCCAATTCTTTATCCGGATGCGCCTGTATCGACAATGCCTTCGCAACCGAAAGCACCTATAACGCAGCAAAACACAATTATTTCTATTCAATCGTACCTCTACCGATCTAATTGGCGTTTTTTTAGTAATAAAATAAAAACTTTTAGATAATCAAAAGCTTAATCAAACAGTATTAAATGTACAATTAATTAATATGAAGAGTTCATTTGTTGCAGGTCAAAACTATTCAGTAATTAATTATTATTCTCGTTTAGTTTAGTTTAACTGAATTTGATAATTTAAAAAAAAAACGAATAAACCACTGCAAGTAGAATTTTAATTTGAAAATTAGAGACGCCTAGAGAGGACTCACCTTGAACAGAAACGGAAGATCCGGGCCCCAAGTCCTAACAACCTTCTTGCCGACTAAAGTAGGGTTCCGGCGAATCAAGTCCTTCAAAGTCAGCGAGTCATTCTCCTTCCCGCCGCCGGTCACCGGTCCGGCGACGTACGCCGGGCCGGAGTCGTGCGTCCCCATCCAGAATTCGGCGTACGGCATGTCCTCCCGAACCTCCTCGCCGGTGTTCAGAGAGTACAGCCGCGCCGCGCGGGATTCCAGGCCGATTCGGCCCCAATCGTAGTTCTTAACTGAGCACCGGAGCCGCAGAAGCGTGTTCTCCGGTATTGCCCCCGGGAAACCGTCGGTCTCCATGGCTTTAAGCGGTTGTGGAGAAGAAATCGAACGGGAAATATGGCAATAAATAGACTAGAACTTAACAAAAATCATCTTATCCCGTGCCTGAAAAAGGAAGAAATTGGTGCCCTTTTCGAGGCATATATTCCGGAGAGAACGCCGAGAGCGTGTCAGAAGGCGGCAGGGGATCATACGCAGCAGAGGCTTGGCGTTGTCGTCATTGTCACGCCATTAACGTTTTACAACGCTGGATTTCTCTCGAGTTTGTACCTCACAATGGGCGTAAGTGGGCCAAATCTGGGCCGCGTCATACAAGACCGACAGGGAGAAGTCGTTACACATGTACTCCCTGTTTTTTTAAATCAATCTCATTAAAATATAGAAAAAATTATCAAGTAAAGATTTTTATATTTTTATTTTTGCACTGTGATTATAAAGTGACATTATACATGTACACATTAATATACTTTTTGCTAATGTACATGACCATATTTGGTAATATATATACATTTTAATCATTATTTCGAGAATAAAAACATGGAAATCTATTATGGTACTCCGGTATATATTTTCAATGTTTTACTCCTACTTTAGTATTTTTCCCTATTTTGTTCAATTTGATTTTTTTTACACACCCTAACTTTAAATGATTACCACAATTTAATTTTTTTTAGATAAGGTAACATCTTTTTACCAAGAATTAAATATAATTTAAAATAATTAAATATTATTAAATTTTTATATTTTAAAAATATATTTTAAAATAAACTTAATTTTTCTAAATTCACATTATAACAAAATATATTTTTTCGATAATTCATTGTCAAAATATGCAATAGTTTGGATAACAAAGTCAAACTGCGTCAACTTTTTAGGAACGAATCATTCAATAAAATGTTTTCGTTTTTGTACGAGGTACTCCCTCCTTTCTTTAGAGTTTTTCCTGTATTGAACTTTTAAAATTAAGGGATGAATATATTTGTGTTGACTTTCTAAAAATATTCTTCATGCGATAGGTAAAAAAGATGTGATTGATAAATTCTTAATAAAATTCTATGATGAGATAGATTGATCAGAGTAAGAATTAGTACGGTTAAAAAGTAGTTTTTACATAGTAATAGATAATGGAGAGTGTTTGTGAGACAAGAAAAGAAAGAAGAACGCGTTTAAGGTACAAATGAAGCATATATTATGAGGATATTTGAATTAAATTTAAGTTTATAAAATTATATTAATAAAATTGTTTGTATAATAAATGAGGTGGGTAATTTATGATACTCCATAATTGATAAATAAAAGGAGTGGAGTGAGGGTAATTATGATAATTTACAAGCTAGAAAAGTAATGAAAAAAATAATATGTACTTTTTTTAGTTATTTAAAAATAATATAAAATAATAAAACTTTGACATAAATATTTAAACATAACATTGAAAAATATTTATTGCCTGTTAGAGCAACTCTAATTTGTTGACGGAGTAAATAAAAATTAAATATCTATTACGGAGTAATTAATATTTAAATATCTATTAACTATCAATGTAATATTTTAAGAGACACACACACACACACACACATATATATATTTCAAAATTAATCTATTGATAAAAATTTATGTAATAATTTGATTTAATTTTGTGTAACTTGTGCTCAAAATTTCAAGAATGATTAAGAAAATCAAATTTGAAAGTTAATTTATCGACTGAGAGTACTTTGCAACCAATTGATGAGTTTTATAAATATAAATCTAATTAAATTCACATCAATACTCTCATAATTTGATGATTATACAACAAAATTATTTTAAAAAAAAGTTTGCACACCAATACTATGAGTCACTGAATTTCACATCGCTACTCCATCTAGCTCAATGACTTGATATGTAATTAAGAAAGAGTAAAATATATGGAATAATTAATTAAGTAATAAAAATTCTAAACAAATACTCCATATTGTCCACCGTTCCTTTTATCTAATAATATAAACTACACATGCATATTTGAGGTGATTCTGTAATGTTGTATGATTTGTTCGTGTATTACGATTTACTTGTCAGTTTTGTTAGTCTAGCTGGCTAATATAAATGGATTACACTACAGTTAAAAAGAAAGTAACAAAAAACCTTATAAATAATATTAAATCTCTAATTAATCTCATGTCTCTGCTCCCTTTTTTCACATTCACCCCATCATGCCTTTCTTTCTTCCCTCTCTCTCATTTTTGGACACTAACCTCACTATTTTGAAACGTTGCCTCTATCAAATCCACCCCAAGTGGAGTTCATCACCGCCGCCCCACTCTAGCAGTGCCGCCGCACCAGCTTTCTCCTTTGCAGATCTGTCACGAAGCATCACTTATAGATCCGCCGTGGAGCCCCGCCTCTAACTCCCCCGGCCTTCCATGCAGATCTATCACACCGCCTATATCTATAAGAGCTGAGATTGCCGCCAGTCGCTATGACTATGATTTTGATTTTTAATTAGCTTCCAAATGCTCTATAATTGAGACTGTATTGTAGAAGTAAGAAATACTTCTAACTAATTGCATTCATCCTTTTTTTTTCTGAAAAATTGCATCTTCGTTAGGCATTGATTTTTGTTCGGTTTTTTCTTTTCATTCTTGTCTTTGATTATTTTTCTTTTAATTTTTTTTTGTTTGATTGTTTTTCTATTAGTTGTGTTTAAATTTTGCTCTCAATCAATTTAAGCAAAAATGGTGATAGTGATAAGAAACTTGACATTGTATGTTGGCAATCTTGACATTATATATTGGCATATCTCGCATTACGTAATAACATGTTTGACGTTATACGATGACATGTTTTTTCGTATTCATTATCGTCTTTGACATTGTGTCTTTGGTTGGCATTGTATTGAAATCTTTTTCCTTTGCAGTGACACCATGGCACTATGATATGGTGGCGACAATGGCAGTTCTGATCCCAATGTTGGCTGTGAGTTGCAACATTGACAGCAACAAATGGGGGCGATGGCAGCCAGAGATTGTGGCGATGGAGTAGCGATAATGACAGTAGCGGCGACGACAGTAGCTACGATGGCGGCAGGGTGACGACAGTGACTTGTGCGGTAGGGGTTGTAGCAAATTTAGAATTTTTTTAAATTTATAAAATGTATTTAATTTCATATTTATAATATGAATATAACTTCTATTTTGGTAAATGATCAATGATTTACTTCTACTCGCTTCTTAACTCTAAGCCGTTAGATTAATTAAGTTAATTACTCCTATTTAGGGGAGTTTATGTTTCAACTCTTATTTTGAAGATATGTTATATGTTTTACTACTACTTTGATCCTTCTCCCTATATAATTAGGTCGAAGTATTTTAGCTTACATAACATCTAAAACAATAAGTTGTCCGCACATCTAAATTAATAAAATTACATTGAATGTTATTTTAACATTTTTAATTACGTTATCAAGTTATTAAAGGAAGATGTCATGTTAGTCAAAATAATTAAGAAAACATTATGAATAAGAGTAAAACGCAACATTTATTCGCAAAATCAAACTTTCATGCATGTTTTTATATGTATAATAGGGGTTTAGGATATGACATTATGGTACTGTATAATAGCATTTCACTGTGTGTTTTGTTGTTATATATTTATATTCTTAGAACTGTAACTCCTATTTTAAGAATAAAAATATGAGCTTCTATTTTGGTACAACCTTCATGTTTTACTCTTAAGAGCATCTCCAACCTTATCAATATGGCTTGCTAAAAGTTATATAATAGCAAGTGAATCTCTTTTTTCCATCTCCAAGGGATATGGTATATTTTAACATACTTGTCAAAAATTAAAATTGGCTTGCTAAACCTAGCAAGCCATCCAAATAAAAGCAAGCCAAGAAAATTAATAAAAAATTAAATTAAAATCCAAAAAAGTAACAGGAATATGAAAAGGCACATGAAAAAGTCATTCTTCTTCCTCCGTTAGTGAATTAATTCACTTTAATTCATTTTTAATTACTAAAAGGGAATTCATTATATTTTAAAATCTAGTTGTTAGTTAGATTTTAGCAAGCATGGTTGGATGATGAATTAAAAAACTACTTGCTAAATTACTATTTACTAGTTAAAATTTAACAATAGCATTTTAATATAGCAAAGATGGTTGGAGATGCTCTAATGTAGTCATATTCACAAAATAACTAAATAACCTAAGTCTAAGTCGGAAAGAGATTTTTTAGATAAGAGTAAAAAGTATAAAAATATATTAAAATAAGAGTCATAAGTTTTTTAAGACCTAAATAAAAGTATAATGGCAGTGTGATATAAGAGTATGTTTTGACATTGTGATTGAAAAGTGATGATATTGTAATGTAGTACGACAGTGTGATCGGTGAACATTTAGACCATGTGCAAATGTACAATGGTAGATTTGATGGAGCTTGACGGAGTGTAAAAAAATATGGTGTGGAGTGATGAAAATATATGTGTTGTGGAACTTAAAAAGGGAGTTTGACAAAATATGCTAGAGTAAAATGTAAATTATTTTGATTGATTGAAACAAAAAAAATTAATAAAGCCGCCTTTATGGCGGGATGGCTATCACCCACAAAGCGGCCACGCCCCATCACGGCAATGGTGGCACGATAGAGCAGGTGTTACGGGGACTTGAAGAAGGGACACGCCACTTCCGTGAAGGCCCATTCCTAAAATTTACATTAAATAGGACTAAAACATAATGATTTTCCCAGTGTAGAACTTAAAATTTTTTATTCCCTAAATAGGACTTAATAATGATCCAGTGAGAAGAATAATGTCCAGTAATGATGGAGACATTTACTTGAATAATGACTACATGATAATGACCAAAGATCCTACATTGAGAAATAAAAATATATGTTCTTATATTAGAAAAGTCATTATGTTTTAGTCCTATTTAGGTAAATTTCTCCATTAGGAATGACCTTAGTCCCAAATCATGGACCTCAAAATTGCAGTCATGTTCCTTCAAAGGTTTACGAGCACCACCAATTTTTGAATAGGCGACATGTGAATAGGGGAGGAGGGTGTTTTAATTTGGAAAATCTTGTAAACTAAGCACTTAATTCATCATACATGTGAGAAGGTAAGGTCTAGGTAAATAAGGAGACAAGATATTCTAATTAATAAGAGTAATATATCTGTCATATTTAACACTCCCTCTCAAACATTATGCAATAACAATATTAAACTACTAGATAATATTGACTATGTTCTCCAGGACCTATATTGACTGATACTACATAATCAGTTATGTTGCCTCATTATAAAAACTTTACTAAGAGGAAAAGAAATGCATTGTACTGTCACATCAGTTCCTTCTTCTCATATTATTGCATGACAAAGTCAAAATGCCTTGCTTGGTGAGGTATGAGTGTGACACTTCACCCTTCTTTTTTTTCTTTACAGAAATACCTTGCTTGGTGAGGTATGAGTGTTTCACCAATTACACTATTTTACTCTTTTCATTTTCGTAGGTTCTTATCTTTGGAACTTATTGACACAAATAATTCATGACAATAAAATCACTCAAGATATGTCTAGAAGAGTAATTAGAAATGGGAGAAATTATTTTGACTCCAAATTTTTAATCTTGCTTTTGACCCCAATCTCTTATAAAGTACAGATATTCATATTCATAGACATCGGTACTACTCCCTCCGTCCCACATAGATCTTCCTAATAGCCCTTTTTCTTTGTCCACAATAGATCTTCTCATTTCATCTTTTTTTAACAATCAAAATATCATAACTACCCCCACTTACTTTATTTATTACACCTCACCCACCTCATTTAATACACTCCACCCATTTTCATTAAGGGTGTTATGGTAAACTTTCACCTTTTTTCAACTCTCTTTAAAAATCACATAAAGTTAAAATGAGAATATCTTAGGGGGACGGAGGGAGTATTTCGTATATGTGAACGTGGGATTACAAGTTTGGATCCCTCCAGCAGAGCCCAATAGAAATCATCACTTGGTATTCTTATCCTTGCCACCACTAAAAATGGAACTTAAACAAAAGAGCCTTGCCGGGGGGAGAATATTCAGTACCGGATTCACTCCGATCCCACTGTTATTCATAAATTTCTTCAACGGCGGCTTGTGATGACGATGCCCTGTAGTTGCGGAGGACGAAGAAACTTTCCTGTAATTTGATCTTTTAATGGCGGAGTAATTAGATGTTCCTGTAGAATTGCTCCGCCACAATAGCGGCAATGGACACATATTTCCCTTCCCAAAGCTCACACTCCAACTCCGCCCCAACTTCCGCGGCGCCGAGCTCTGTTTTTCCGGCGGCGGCGGCGGCGGCGGGAGAAGCTTTTTTTGCGGACCCATTTTTCTCTTGATCGGAATTGGGAGAATCTTGCCGTCGGAGAAAAGCTCGTCCGCCGACGAAGACTCGCAGGTCTCCCGGGAAACGCAGAAATTGAACTCTGGGCTCGCCGGAGAACTCGACCGGATCTCCCGTGGCTCCCCCGGTGCCGAAACATCACCGGAAAATGACATTCTCGGGCTCGAATCCCGAGAACAAATCTCAATGGCCATTTTCGAAGCCCAAGAATGTGGGAGTTAATAAGAATGAAGGATCATTGAAGATTCCAAACCTGACCAAGAAAATGAAGACTGGAATTCTCAAGAGTCAAAGAAACGAGTGTGGGTTTTTGAATTCAAAGCTTTGGAAGTCAACAATGGCGGACACATGGTTTTTTTATAGACAACACAAATGAGCAGAAGGATTAGAACCCACCAAAGATGAAGGCATGAGCTGATGAAAGCTTGAAGATTTTGCATAGCTTAACAAATCTTGAAGATGAAGGCTTTGGGTTGGGCTTTGGTAATGTACGTAAGAAGCTAGTAACAAACTCATGACTCATTTGACACCAAGGATGAGAATGATTGGTTGAAGAGTAAAGGCCTAAAGGGCATAATATAGCTGGGGTAAAATGGTAATCTAATTGTTTATTAATTTGCAATATAAAGATGAGGAATTTACCTAAATAATGCTAGAATATAGTAACTTTTCTAATGTATTATCATATGTTTTTATTTCTAAATGTAGTACTACTGGTCATTGTTCAAGTAAATGTCCACTGTCACTGGACATTATTGAAACTAAATGTTAACCATCACTGGACATTGTTCCTACCACTAGACATTATTCAAATAGTATTTGGAGAATAAAAAGGTTCAAATACTACATTGGAAAATGACATGTTTTAGAACTATTTAGTACAAATTTAATTTTCTTTTATTAAGTTCAGCACTTAATTTTTTAGCATGCTAAATTTTTATCTAACATTAGTTTTGTCATTTTCAAAATTAGTTTGTATCATGAAATATTATCCAAAACATTAATATTAATCACAAACCTTCATCACATACAAATATATGATGTTAGTACGATAATTTTCACGAGAGAGATATTATGAGAAGGGAATAAATGGTATAAGTTCAATTTCTGCTTATGAAAATTTAAATTTGTTTCTATAAAAAAATCATAGAGTGAGATCTTTAACATTGCCGAGACATCAAAGCATCTCGTTTAAGAAAACTGTTTAAATTTTTAGATTATTTAAATTTGTAAGTATGAGAATTGTGATATTAGAAGTTATTATATCTAAAACATGTTTAACATTAATCAAACACACACAAAAATATCTACTACCTCCGTCTCATTTTAAATTGTCTGTTTTGCTTTTTTTTCTCCGTCCCAAAATAAGTTGCATGTTAGTTGTTTTCGTAAACTTTTAAGAGTAAAATACCTAAATTACCTCTAAAATAAGTCACTCTTCTCCACCTTATCTTCTCATTCATCGTCACTCCTCCTAACAAGTACTGACAACTTTGAAAAATCAACTCTATCTTTTCTTTTTCTTAAATATGCCTAAAAGTCAAAACAAACGATTTAAAACAGGACGAAGGGAGTATATAATATAGAGATATATTAAAACTCGGTCGTATTTTTTTGCGCTCATCAAACGGGCACTTAGTTTTCAAAAGATGTGTACTAAACACAATAAACCCCGAAGTGCAGGTGCAGTCAAATAGTATTACATTTACATATTTTCAGTATGGGACGTTCAATTACCCAAAAAAGCTCAGTAGTGCAATCAAATGTCAAAGGTGAGCAAACTTATGATTCAATTTTGTTGTATTCTTCTTCTTCTTCTTCTTCTTGTTCACCAAACGAAGACATCATAGCCCTCTTTGCTTTACGGCAACGCTATCCCTCATTATGTTGGCAAAGCCAGTACCAGGTTGTTAGTTGTTGCAATCATATCATGATGTGCTGTGTTTTCTACATGTTGGATTTTCTTTCCCATCTCTCTTTCACATCAAGGCTACAATTTCACACATTCAAAAGTATGACAAATATAATGTTAATAAGGATAAAAAGAAAAGGAAACAGTTATTTGCACTCCAACCATAACCCCAATTCCACTTGTTGTTCACAACAAACATGGGATGAATTTCATGTGTGCGTGTCCGTTTGGACAAAAATAAGGTTGGGACATTGGGGGCAAAGTTGGAGTAAGGTTAGGCAAGATTCAAAATAACATTGCTAAATGTGCAAGGCAAAAGACCGATGCCTAGCACCAAGGGCTCCTTGGCAACATCTAGGGGTTGGCTAGGCATGACTTTTGGTCACTCTAAGTTAACTTTTACAAACAATAAGTTCAATTACACCTGGCAAAACAGACCTGCAACCAATTACCCAAACAGAAGAACCTAAACTGAATCCGAAATGAGCCAAAAAATGAATACCCAATCTGTAACTGAAATCTGAAGAAGGGAAAGCAAAACAAAAAAAAGACCCGAAACGATAAGGCCCGATCAGGTCTGAAACCAATCAGACCCAAAAATGCTAGACCCAAAACCAATTAGACTCAAAACTGGTCAACCCTGAAATGAAACTTATTACGTAGTATTTCGTAGTTTAAAAAAATGAAATTTTGTGGTTGTTATTTATGAAGAGGATAGAGAGAAAATGTGAACCATTAGATTATTTTTTAAAAAAAGGAATATGAAGCACAAACTAATAGTAATCTAAATCATAATCAACCCTTATCAAAATTTACCCAAAGCGAAATCTACTTGAACCAGTATACACCTGAACCCTAACCAAACTGAAAATATATAAAACCAAATTAAACCCAAACCTGAATAGAACCAAACTGAAATGACTTAATCTGGTTATAACATATACCCGAAGTAGACCCAAACCGATAAAATTTAAACTGGGACCGAACCGATAGTTTAGTATACACTTCCTCCGACTGATTTAATCTTCCTACTTTGACTTTACACGGGGTTAAAGAATATAATCATCTTGTTGAAATTTATTTAGAATGTAAATCAACTATGCATTTTTTTCGAGTCTTAGATAGACCAAAGCAGAAAGCAGTAAGCTTAATCTGAGCCCCAAAACATTCACCTGTCCAAACCTCTGTCTTATCTCCCTTGCTCTAGCAATAAAAAACAAATACTTCCTCTTACCCAGTTTTCTGCTTTTCCTTTTTGGACGTCTCAAAATAACTTCTCACTTTATTTCCTTTTTTAGTAATGGATATGTGCCTCACACTATTTCTCTCTTCTCTATACGAAATTACAAATTCTAACCATACATTTTGCATTTTCAACAATTTTAAACTCTATGAAATTCAATTTGGTTGAACTGTTGAAGTTTTTTGGGAGGGAGTAAGCATTTCACTTTCCAAAGCTTGTGCAATAACTAAATGAACTATGCAATCTTGAAAGAGTGTACTTAGTGACCCACAATTGACCTTCTATACGAAGAAATTCAAACAATTACTTCGTATTCAGATATATTGCTATGTATGAATAGAAAAGAACAGGCAGAGAGGAAACTATACCCCCAATGCAATTTTTGGCGCTTGTGTGGCTCTTTGTGTGGTAATGTAGTGTCTTGCTTTACGTGCAAAATGTCATCTGAACTGCTTCTTGGAACCTCTAAATATTCCGTTTGGCCATCAGCATTTTTACTCGCATGTTCTATACATAATTTAGCTTTGTTGTCTTCACCAAGACATTTTCCACCTCCATCTACTTTCCCTGACAATATTGAAACTAAGAGTATCTCCCTTGTTTTTGGTAAGTAACCTTAAATACAACTAAGGATGTGTTTTGCAAGGCAAATACTGAGTATAACAGCAAAAACAAACTATAATCTCAATTCTGTTGGAGTCCAAGCGTCAAGATGTACACAATCTTAAATCTCTAAAAAATTAGAGGATTTGTTTTTGTTAGACCCTTGGTGTATAATGTATTGATGCATGTACTGGCCAGAACTTCATAGAAAGTAAGAGGAAACGACAAATTAATGAATCGTTATGATTTAGTTCATTATTTTCAGTGAACTCTATTTCTAGTTTTGACAAACCTTTCTTCAAGTGTCTTTTAGCTTTTGACTTAGCTTTAATTTGTAAACGCCTTCGACGCAACTCCTGCATAATACAATTTCACTTAAGAAACTAAGATAGTAATATCACTAGTTCCATAAGCAATAAATTCAATCAGTTGTTAACTGGTAAAATATCTGTAAGACTGTAACACATACGCCCCCTCATTCACAAATGGCAGAGCACTCAATTTCATTTGAAAAGATTTCATTCTTTTCTCACACATAAAATGCAAGTTTTTTTCTTTAAAAAAATTCCCTAAGTTCCAAAAAAAAATTCCACAATTAATTTATTAAGAAATTGAATAAATGATAGACTCCGTAAATGAAGATGAAAGATACAGAATGCTCCCTCTGCCTCTTCGATATGTTCAATCTTTCTTCTTCTTTTGTAGGTCCCTAAACTTTTCCCATTTTCTTATTTAAAAAAGGAAGTTGTGGTTCATATTTTTCTTCACCTTCTAATTCAACCTCAACCATGCACCTTTACAATTTCTTACTCCATAATTACTATGCGCCACTCAAGGGTGGAACTTTGAAGTTTGAACTGGACAGGGGTAGAATGAACAACAGATTTTTCTTCAAAAGAAAAGTGAAACCCTATTCTCTAGTAACATAGGACCCTTTACATGCCGTCGGACACGGAATTCCAAGAGAAAAAAATAGTGTTCTTCTCTTTCACATTCACTATACAATACATATTTCTGGATTTATATCTCTATTTTTGCAATTTACTAATCTATAACACATCAATCAATTTCACAAATCACAACCAGTATGCAAGTTGCATGAATTTCGGTCATATTCCTGGCTTTCAATCTCTATTTTTTTCTATTTTCTAGTCTATAACACATCAATCAATTTCACAATCACTATAACAGTTTACATGAAATAGGATCATATTTCTGTCTTTCGATCTCTATTTCTTCGACTATCTAGTCTATAACGCATTAAATTTCTAGCGGGATGAGCACCGCAAGGATAGTATGGGGATGAGAAGAGAGGCGTACTTGAAACTTGGAGAGCTGGTCGGCCGTGACGGCGGAATTGGGCCTGATATCGGGGAGCAGAGTGCGCGCTGAGGCTATCGCGGCCTCCCTTCTTGCGTCTTCGTCTTCTTCCATTTGATAGCTCCTAAGATGGGGATGATGGCTTTTTCATGTTTGTGTTGGTATTCATTGATTTATTATTAAAAAGTTGTTTTAAGGGGTGTATTCAATATATATTCAATTCTGTAAGGCCTCGTTTGGTACACGGAATTCAAATTATGGAATTGAAATTGAGGATTTTAATTTCAATTCTGGTGTTTGGTAGCACAAAAATTACGTGGATTTGGAATTGACAGTGCAAAAAATGAATTGGAATTGGTGAATTCAATTCTTTGGAATTGAATCTCATGGAATTTCAATTTCAATTCAATTTCAATTCCATCAATTCCGTATACCAAACGGACCCTAATATTTTTAGGGATTTTAAAAGTCTATATGTATTCAATTCAAATTTTTAAAAAGTTGGTTAAAATCTTGATGTATTCAATTCAGATTTTTAAAAATCATTTAAAATCTAAATGTATTCAACTCAGATTTTAAAATATCTTTCTAAATTTAAAGTTATTCAAAAATAAATTAATTTTAATTTTTTTTATAAGATATAGATTTTGATGGATTTTGGGTATAAATTGAAACCCAATTTCAAATCTCACAAAAATGTAGAGATTTTGCACGATTAGCTCTTTCAATACACAAAGCGCGGGCGTCACGTCTCCTTCATCTCTTCGATCTTATTTTTTGGATCACCATCTAATTTTGTCAGAGGAAACCTTCTTCAAGAATTTACAATTTTGCCAGGTGGTCCTCTTTGATGGATTTTCGTACCGATTCTGTCGGAGGAAATCTTCTTCAATGGATCCCCAATTCAATTTCGATCTTCTTCAATGGATCTCCATCAACAACAAGAGGTTAGGGTTTCTAATGTTTTTTGAGGCATCCTCCTTCAACGAGACATGGTATAAACAAATTTTGCCTGGAATTTATATTTTAAAATCTAGATAAATCCAATTTCGATGCATCCTCCTTCAACGAGACTTGTAACTTCCAAGGTTAACTTTTTCAAATGTTGACTACACTACTTTTTATAGTTTGTTTTTTAAAATTTAAACTTTTAACTTCTAATTTTTTCTAGTCTTTTGTAGTTTTTTTGTAAAGGTTTTCAACATCTAATTTTTTTTCAATCCTAAAGAACAGACATTTAATGATATGTAACATCAATATTATTACTGTATTATATATAACATTATAATAGTAATTTTTAGTAAATTATTCCGTTTACAAAACTAATCGTACACTAATTATTACTACCTCTGTCCCACAAAAAAGTTCTCATTTTGACCATAAATTGGTCAAACTGTTGCACACTTTGACCCTAAATTAAATATAATCTAAATAAAGAAGTGCTAAAAAATTTGAGATATCAAAACTAGATTCTAAGATGAATCCAATTATATAAAATTTATTCCACAATTCAATATACCTTTCTCACAATTTATAGTCTAAGCGTATAAATATTTAACTAAATACTATTCAAAATGTGAACTTTTTTATGGGACGGAGGGAGTATATAATAATAGAAAAATGTTAGTACTATTTTTCAATTTTTGTCAAGATTTATTTAATTTATTATAAAATATACGGAGTATCATCTAATACAATACTGAGTAAATGATAAAGAGAAAAATAAGTAATGGAATAATAACACTATGTTTGATTGAAAAAATTTGAAAGGGAAAGAAAAGAAAATAAAGTGAAAAATAATTTTTCTTTTTTGATTAGAGAAGAAAAAAAGAAAAAGTGGTAAATAAGAAAGAAGACAAAATATTCCAAATACATGGAAAACCAAATTTCTCCATTAGGAGAAAAATGAGAGAATCCATTTTGTTTTTTTTTTCCTTCCAAATTCCCAACCAAATAAGAGAATCCACCCGGTACACCCCTGAATCGAATTTGCCACGGAAAGGACGCTTTGTTTGATTAGGTGTAGGTGTCGGAATAACCGCAATTAGGTTTATTTTTGACTTCATGTAGTAGTGTATTAATCTGTGGTTTTTTTATTCATCAAAAGAATTGAAGTTATTGAACCCACGTTTTAGATCTCTGATCTCATATTTGGACACAATATTCTGCAGCGAATCTTTATTTGCACTATGGATCTCTTCATGGAACATTACCCTTATGGTTCGCGTAAAGATGTCATGGAGATTGTAAATCGTTACCCCCATATTACAGTACGAGATATGGAGAATGTTTTCATCTCTAAAGGCCCATTTGTGGCAAGGTTTTGGCGCGGCACCACTGACATTCTCAGATTCATGGAAAGGTATATTCGTGATATCAGTTTCGATCGTGAAACCGCAAAACAGAAAGGTCGATAACATGTTCAATCTGGGCCTTTACTTCATGTGCATTCAGTACATGTACAACCAAAATCTCCAGAAAATGGACCCCTACGTGTATATGGTACGATTCGGGTTTAGTATCAAAATATCGCTAGTGGAGACAAGGTGCAGCTTGTTGTCTACAAACGAAGTGCCAATGATGCCGACTACATAAGCCCGAGTGGTGGTAATTTAGTTCTTTTTGGGCCTCATGTTTCCCATACTGGGATTACTAGCTGCTATGATTTGATGATGCCTTTGTACAATACAGCTATAGAAGTTGATCTCCATCTCAAAATTGGGGATTTTTCCCATTCGTTTGCTCATGAAAAGTTTTTGGTGGGGGGTACAACTGAAGGCGATGTTGAGGAATTAAGATCCAAAGAATTCCAGGATACACTTTGCTCTGCTACCTTGAGTTATATTAAAATGCCATTTGCTGCCCTTTGCGAAGTCGAAGTTCTATTCGATAGCAAAAACGAGGGCCTAGTTCTTAATCTTGTTGGAAAAATTGTTGCACGATATAAGAACACCTTTGGAAACTATAACTCAGAACCGTGCGTTCTTTTTGAGAAGCAGAATGGCTTTGAATCAGTAAAGATGAATAATAAGCTCGGTATGTCAAGAAAATTGTTGGGGTTGCCTGCATATTCGTCACTGGAAGTTGAGCTGGACTTGATGGACGTCAACACAAAAAGCCTATTAAGAAAACATTTAAATGTTTCAATGAGGATGGCATATTTGCAGGTGATAGTGTATTGGACGTGGAGGGTGATTTTACAATTATTCTCATAAGAGAGTTGATTTCATATCCACAAAAGTCAAGTGTGGACAAAATCAAGGTAGTTTGTTCTCTGAACGTAATAACTCTATGCAAAAAGAATTCCAGAGGGGGCTTAAGACACTAAATTATGATTCACCATACACTCAAGATAAATATATAGGAGTAATAAAAATATTGCAGATAATGAATTTGATTTTTGAATTCAAACTTTCCCCGTTGCCAATGTGAAATAGTCATTTTGACAATTCATTAGCATATGGACTAAATTAATATGGCATACTAAACTTCTCTTGCTTATTACTCGTTTTTTAATGATGTTTTTGGCTCTAAATGTAACCATGCATCACGGGTCTAACAAAAATGGCCTCTCTGTTGGTGAGGTAAGGTTGCAAACCTCTAGGCCTAACCTGTGGGGGGGGGGGGGGGGGGNAGAGCACTACATTAGTTTGATATATTTTATCTTACACCACCTAATATCTAATGTTTTGTCATTTCTCTTCAGGCTAATAATGAAATGTCATTATACAACACTGGCAACCCTAGGTTTGTGGTTCTTAAATCTTACTTTTGTGCACTTTCATAATACTGCCTCCCAGAGGCGGATTCAGGAATCGGGAGACATGGGGTCCCGTTTCTTAAATTGTAAACATACATTTATACCATGTTATTATTCACACGTTATAAAAAATAAACTAAAAAATCTACTATTTAAATGAACATTCAAAACATGATTCTTTAATGGATTTTTTAGAGTCATAACTTCTACACCTGACATTTTTTTAATATAAAATTTATTAATTGGATAGAATGATTTTTTTTTGTCAAAAGCCTCCAATTAGAACAAAAGATTTAGACATATCTATAATCCTTCTTTGTCAAACTTTTAAATGGAAGTAAATTGTAAAAAGAATACAAATAAAATGAAAAATAGATTTGTTTAGGTATTTTTTAGGGAAAAAAATACTTGTAGAAAGACCAATAAAAATTGTGAACTCTTTACGTACATACATCAATATATTCTATACCCACAATTTTGTGAATAACCGCAAAGAGTACAAGTTTGAAATTTCAATGTTTTACATTTATAATAAATTAAAACTTCGAAGTTTGTTGTTTAGGTTTTCTTGTAACGATGGAGAATGAGATCAACATTTTATTTCTTGTGTACTACTGTACTAAAGTATGAGGATAGTGGTTTTAGTAGATTGGTGGTTCTCACTTGATTTTCCAACTCTACTAAATTTTGTAACCATTGATAGAAGAATTAAACTAAACAAATTTAAATAGCACATGCATTTGGGTAGTTTGATGGTCAAATTGAAAGAATTTTAATAATTGTTTAATATTTATTTAAACTAAAAGTCTAATGAAGATATACGCATTAATACAAAAAATACTACCTCAAAAAATACATTAAAATATTTTAAATTAATTTTTTTAGAGTAATTTGAAACCACTGATAGAAGAATTAAACTAAACAAATTTAAATAGCACATGCATTTGGGTAGTTTAATGGTCAAATTGAAAGAATTTTAATAATTGTTTAATATTTCTTTAAACTAAAAGTCTAATGAAGATATACGCATTAATACAAAAAAGTACTACCTCAAAAAATACAATAAAATATTTTAAATTAAAAATGTTTTTTTAGAGTAATTTGAAACCACTGATAGAAGAATTAAACTAAACAAATTTAAATAGCACATGCATTTGGGTAGTTTGATGGTCAAATTGAAAGAATTTTAATAATTGTTTAATATTTCTTTAAACTAAAAGTCTAATGAAGATATACGTATTAATACAAAAAATACTACCTCAAAAAATACAATAAAATATTTTACATTAAAAATGTTTTTTAGAGTATTTGAGGATAAAAGTGAGTAGCATAAAAAGAACATGAAGGAGATTGGAGTCGAACCATGGACCACCGCTCTAAGTGTTAGGCCGCACTGCCACTGCACCATTTAGGGAATTATTTACTCAAAGGCTTTGTTTATTTATATACTTAAAATATTAGGGTACCTAATATATATAAGATCCTACGTGGAGGTCCGTGGGGTCCTGGGACCCTGTGGGACTCAACGTGGGTCCGCCTCTGCTGCCTCCATTTTTAAAGAGTCTTCATTCTTGCCATTTCTCAATGTCCCAAAATAAACTTCTAACTTTTACTTTTTACTCCTCTTTCCCATTCCCAAAACACTTTTTACAACACTTTTAACATTCCCAACAATACTATTTGCATTCCCAACATCTCTTTTTTCCTTTTCTCAAAATATTTTTTTGACCACCTTAAATCTAGCAATAGTCAATGAGAGAAAATTTTCCAATGACGGAAGTTGTATTAGCTTAGCCACTTTTTACAGTGTTTGTTGGTTTATGAATATATTTTTTCAATTAGGTATGATGTAGGTCAAGAGAGTACACTGATACCATCAATGTTCGTAGAATTTTACTCAATCTTTATTGGCCGTAAAAAAATGGGGTCGGCATTGAAAATTTTTGGCACTATTGAATTGTCTTCCGGTAAGAATAGTCACTACCTGTTCAAGAGGACAGGTAATGATGGTGTGGAAATAGAAGATTCACAGAAAGTGTTACCATTGGGAGATGTGCATATGAGGCTTGATGAATGTAGCATGCCTGAATTGAAGGCCAATCTAAAAGATGTTGGTGGGAAATTTCTAATTAGAGGTTTTGCTAGCCATGACCGTATATATGACACCCAAATATGTTCTGTGTTTCCGGGAGAAGAGGGCTTTTGTGCATTGCAATACTCCATTTTCTCAAGAGCTTTTCAAGTAAAAATCGAGATCTTTGTCAAGAATAAAAGTGATCATGTCGGGCCTGACACAGTCTATGGAAGTGCAATTGCGTGGTATAGCAATTTTGACTACCCAACTGAGTTTGAGAGAGATTATTTTCGGAGTGTGCTTTTCAAAAGGACCGAGAAGAATTCAGAACGATTAAAGGATGATGGGAGAGTACCACTTTCTCGATGTGTAGTTGCGGTTCCAATGGGTTCGTCCCTCATTATTCATGTAAATTTGCGTGGCACACATTATCATCTCTCGTGCACCGAAGCGTTCATGATTGGAAGTAACTCCTTCAACCAACCGATTAATGATCATGATCTTGACATCAAGTTGACTTGGAGTGATGGTAAGTAAGTGTATTTTTTTGGTTATTCCTTACTTTTGAGATTCTATTATTTCAGTTTTTGGCTTATAATAGTGTCCCAAACCAAAGCAGTGTGCCTGTTCTCTCAGGTGCTAGAGTCCCACAATCAATTATTTAATGGTGAAACACTTTCTTTTGATTCCCCTTTGTGAATCGTTTATTTTACACAAATTAAATTGCCACATAATTTTCCATATGGTGCAGAAGAAATGTTATGCAACATTTAGCTAAAGTGGTATGGCAAGAATTCTTATTTGAGTTATTTCTAATAATCTTTAGTAGTATGCTCAGTTTGTGATGTGTCAATCAGGGAAACCAAATTAGCAAAGTTATTGATCTATTTGTAGCATTTCATGATGCTTATGACCAATGATTGATGAATTTCTTGAATGCTGTTGTACAATGTAGTTTGATGATGAAGGGTAACTATGGGAACCTTTATGTAAAAGTGCTTCTGAAATGGTTGTATTGATTCTTATGTTCAATACAGACTAAGAATCAATATATTGACGACAAAGCGATATTAATAATCTTGGCGAAATGCAAGATAAAGAGTCTCAATTCACTGCACAATGTATTGGATTTGTTGTTGATGATTATTTTATCATTATTGACTTTATTGTTGATGCAGGATTGCACGATGGGGGGGAATGATTCAGACAAAGACAAGGTAATTCATTGTTTAATTGTAATAAATTTATGTTTAATTGTAATAAATTTATGCAAAAAAAGTCCTACACGTGTAAAAATTATAAAACACTGTACGATGAAGATAAATAACGTGATTAATAAAAGTTAGTTGAAAATGTACATGAATTCTTCCATGTTTGGACCATCGTACAACTTTTCCTTCCAGAATAACTACTACACAAGGATACTCCCAAGAGATAACCCATGTCACAAAAAAGCTTCAAAGATAGGGAAGTACATCCCTTCATTATGTCTATGCTGATTTGGCTATTTTGTTTTTGCCACCTCACTGATTTGGCCTGAGCTTCCTTGCATTTCAGACATGTGAGCTTAAGAGTGTAATTGTAAGACCATGGTAGTCAAAATCGCGATCGATCGTACGATTTTATGATTCTGCAAATCGCCAGGGTGTTTTCAATCTGACTCGTGCTGAAAATCGCAATTCTTGTTAGAATTGTAAGGATCGACGATTTGGATCATAGAATCTTAGAATCGAGTGAGCTTGCTGATCAAAAACAGGGATCCACAAGGAAATTGTGAAACATTTTGTTTCGTGCCGTCGCTTTTTACTCGACCTTTCCTAACGTTTATCCCCTCATCCCTTTATAAATATGACCCTTCTCCCACACTAATATGCTCAAATACTTACAGAGTTAATCAGGGCCGGCTCAAGCCAGGGGCAAGGTGGCCACCTGGACAGGGCCCAATTTTGGAGGAGGCTCCACTTTTTTCTTCTTTTGTATATATTCTATATATATTATATATATTTATAAAAAAAACAGGTTAAGAATATGAATTATAAACTTATAAGACTATGAATTTGACATTTTATTATTCTTATTACTATAATATTTTTGTTGGGACTGCGCGTGCCCTCACCCCAACCCCGTATTAGTATGATATTGTCCGCTCAGGGCCAAGCCCTCACGGATTTGTTTTTGGGCACCTCCCAAAAGGCCTCATACTAATGGGGTGGGGTGAACCTATATATTTTGGTTCAATTACTCCTAAACATCCGGTGTGGGACTTGGAGGAATCCCAACAATTTTTTATTGTTAAAAAAATTTAATTGATAGACTTTATTTTATTATGACACAATGGCCCATTTTCTCCGACGTCCAGGGTCCCTGATTTCTCGGAGACGGCCCTGGAGTTAATAAACCTTTGCACATCAGCCATCACACTCATCTTCTAGCTCCGCTACGGGCTATTTCCCTTCGCTAGTGGCAATACAGCGTCTCTCACGAATATCACTTTTGCCCAGATATTATTTTAAGCCTTTTAATTGTATATTATGTTTTTTTCCCTTTCAGGCTTCACTCTATTTTAGTACTGGGAGTGACTTTTTTTAAGTTGTTTCCTTTTAGGCTTCATTCGCTACTGCCTACTTGCAGTGTCTTTTTGGTCAAGTTTCTTTTTTTAATGTATTACCTTTATCTTCATACTTTTAAGATGTTTTAGAATAATGTTTTAAGTGATTCGTGAATGAATATATATATATATATATATATATATATATATATATATATATATATATATATATATATATATATATATATATATATGTATGTATGTATATAGACACACACACACATATATATATATACACACACACACACACACATATACATACATATAGATACATACATACATACATACATACATACATACATACATACATACATACACACACACACACACACACATATATATAGAGAGAGAGAGAGAGAGTAGGATCTTACGATGTTACGATCTTCATTAGGCCTAGCGATCCTACGCAGAATCTCGAGTTTGACTACCATGTGTAAGACGCTCCAAAGTGTGGAGCATTCAATTACAATATTATTTTCCCTCTTTGATTTAAGAACTATTTGAAAATTGGAGATTCATAATGGACATCCAAAAAGAGTAGGGATAAGTCATGTCCTAGTGTAAAAAATGCTGACAGATTAGCCAATCCAGCATCGGTATGGACATTAGAGATGATAAACTACATTGTTTTAGGAGTATTTCTTGACACAAATCATCTCTTTGGAATATTATTGTTCAATATTTATTTTAGGAGTATTTTTGTTAGAAGGTCGTCAAACCTCTGAATATCTTTGTATATTTTTTCCAGAATTTAACAAATTATATTTACAGATGTTGACACCTCTCTGTACCAAGATGTTCTCTTACACAATTGGTCGGCTCTCTTGGTCTCTCTATATTTTGATGACAAAGTGATAACAAGAGTCTAGGGAAATTGCAAGATAAAGAATCACGATTCAATGCGCAATGTATTGGTTTCGCTGTTGATGATTTTGTTATTTTTGTTGACGCAGGATTGCAGGATGGGTAGAGTGAATCAGGCAAAGACAAGGTAGTTCATTGTTTAATTTTAATATATATGCACCGGCAAAAGGAAGTCTAACATGAGTTTAGTCATAAAATTACATAGGGTAAATTAATAATTAAAATCAATGAGTTTGATTTGATTATCAATTCATTCCACAGTGAATTTAGACCTCAATTGTTGTACTCAACATCCAGCGAAATTGAAATAGAAATTTTTACATCTTTTTTCTTATCTTTGCGCATTCTCTTCCTATGCCTCCAAAAAGTAGAATTAGAAAGAATCCCAAGCAGGAACTTCAAAAAGTGATGTGTAAGTTTTTCCTTTTGATTTTGTTAGCAGTGCGCCTAAAACCTTGTAAATCGATTCCTACAGTTTGGTTTTTTCAAAAAAAATTTACGAACTATTTCACCAAAATGTTACCGATTCCCTGGTACTATATTTCAATTTAATTTCTGATTTGTTTGACTTGAGTGATCTGGTTAGCTCTTTTGATAGGATTTTTTTATTATTTAGATTTTTTTTATAGTTTCTGGTTAGCTCTTTTGACTTAAGTGGCGCTTTTTTATATAGTTTTTGGTTATTCAATGTAAAAGGCTATGTTGTGCTATATGTGATTGTCCTTAACTTTGACTTATATTCTAGTTGTGCTTTAAATTAGGGACCATAAATTCTATATTTATCATATGCTTAGTGGTGACCTAATTTGTTGTTTTTTTGGTAGTTGTAAAGATTGGATTACTATTTAGTATTATTCTCTGTATTTTATTTTTTACTTTTTTTGTTCTTTTTGTTACTGTTTAGGCAATTAGTATATGCTAATATTCCTCTTGCCCACAAGTTTAAACTTCCGTTGGACCCAGAGTTGCCTATCTCTCGTGGGGAGAATTATGTAGAATGTATTGTTGGAGTTGTGCCCTGATGGCCAATTGTTTATCGTTATTCTATCATGTATAGGCAGATATAATATGTTTACACATCTCATGCTAATGTAAACAAATATTATATTCCTAGATTTATATTTAAAAGATGTTTATCAGATAGTGTTTTTCTGCTGATGAGACTAACATCTTGAAATAAATATTTATCTAAATGTCCATAGTCGAGTATTAACGAGAGTGGGATATCGTTAATGCATGTGAGACTAGTGTGTGTTGGATGTTTGACTTAGTCTCATAGTCAATGACGGTGTGTTCGCATCCGCACATGGGCAGATATTATCTAGAGATAATAGGATGCCGGACTGACCCATCCTAAAGATGTTGCTTGAACTTTTAGTTCATGCTCTAAGCATCTTTAGCGCGACCACGGGTGTAACTATCCTTCGACTTGAAGTATTACGTTTTCTGCATATGTGAACCCGCATACTTTGATGCATTGTCCTAAGCCATATGAAATAAGGATGGTATACAGGCTTTGTTTTGGGTATGCCGCAGCGCGTATTCAGAAACGTAGATTACGTACATAGGATTTGTCACTACTCTTTTTAAAAGAGATTAATGTCTTATGGGGCCCACTGATAAGTCATGATTGAGGAAACTGCATGGCCATGCTGAGATGTTTTTATGACGTCTGTTCCTATTAGTCAGACTTGATGAATCAGTGAATGACTTAATGGATACAAGCTAGATTTTATTAATCCCTTGCATTAAGTCTAGACATTGAGACAAAGGGATACAGTTACACGGAGTCTGAGTCGTGGAAAGGTTTTGACGGTGCAAACGTC